ATACTAGTTATTAATAATTTAAATAATTTAAATTAATAGTATTAATAATTATAGTATTTTATTATTATATTAATATATTTTATTATTAAATAACTAAGTAATTATTAATATAATAATAGTAAAAGCCTAATAATATTATAATAAAATATATATATTTAATATAAAAAAACTTATTTAAGAATTTAAACTTTTCTAAGTAATTAAAGTAAAGTATAATAAGATAAAAGTAGTTTCTTTAAATAATTAAACTAATACTAGTAACTAAAAGGCGGTTAAATTCATACGGTATTTATAGTATGCTTTCGTAATTTGAGCGCGAGCGCGTCTTTTCTCCTTCTGCTTTGCATCCTCAGAAAACCGGGCTATAATGTGTTTCAGGCCTGTACCTTACTGACCCTTGATGGATCCTTGCTGCCGCTCCTACTTACATCGCTCGCGTAGCAGCCTGCAACCCGCCGTGCCCGCCATTGCGGCACAATTCCGCGCCCGTGCCCCAACTGACCACCGTCGCGGTTGCTCCATTGGCCTTGCATGTACAGCGCATCCAGGGCGGCGGAAAGACGCGCGCGTTTGAAATGGTGGCAGAGGCAGGAGCTTTGTTGTTTGGAGTCATGTGGCGATGGGGCGCGGTCGTTCCTGCAATTACCTACAAAATAACAAAGGGTGAACCGTGAGCGAGACGGCGTCAGAGAAAAGCGGCAGGAGCGGCAGCTTCCCGCAAAGACTGCCTCCTCAACGACGCGAGCTAGACAAGCTGGGGAAGGATGGTTTGGCGCGGCTCGTATTAGTATTTGATCAAGGCGGTGCGAGCCGGCGGCAACGGCGAGGCAGCGAGGCAGCGAGGCAATAAAATGAGGCCGGAACGCACGGCATGCAGGCTGCACGCCAAGAGGGCCGCGCGGATGAGAAGGCTTCATCAACATGGGCTGGCAGAGCCAAGTGGTGGATGCGGCCACTGGTTACGCAGTGTCGGCTTGTCGCATCCGCGACACGTGAGAGCCCGGTGGCGCGAGCTCGAGGTCCGTGGGCTGCGCAGCCAATGGCCGTGGCTTTCGGGGGCGCAGCGCTTACGTGCATCGGCGTCCAGCTGCCGAGTCGTGCGAAAGCCAAGATTGGGCCAAGCGCGCGCGAAAAGCTTCGCCCTGCCCGGCGACGGGCCCGTCAAGCCCGTGGGTGCAAGCTGCGGACAGGGCTGGTGGCACAGTGGCACAGTGGCTCAGCTGCGTGCAAATGGCCGCACGCAGGCGCAGCAGCGGCGCAGCACGGCCAGTGGCGCGCGCTGCTTTGGGCACCAGCGTGCCAGTCTCGTGCGGAGGCAGCGTCAGGTGCGCCAGCTGTGGCGGGTTCGAGATTCGCTTGAGTCTGGTGCTGATCCGCCCGGCTGCTAGTGGATAAATCGCAGCCTTGTCGCTCTCACCTACCCTCCCTTGCACCCATAATCTGTTGCTTCCCGCGCCTCCGACCCGACTCCGCGTCTCGCTCTCCACACCCGTTGCGCCTGTAACTCAATACTCGTCACCTTCGACTCACCACACTCCTCGTGAGTGCGCGCGCGCCCACCCTGCTCGTCAACCCAGCTGACCGCGTCATAGACCGGAATCCATCATGTCGAACCAAGGATACTACCAAGGGCCTCCGCCCCCCCAGCAGGCGTAAGTCTCTCTGCGCGTCCACCGAGCGCCTATTGTCCTTGCGACACCATGGGGCACTCTTCGCGACAGAAGACCTGCAGCATCACGTAGCGCTTTCGCGGCTGGACCAACGGCTGACTTTGTGTACCTAGCTACTACCCTCAGCAAGGCTACCCTCAGCAGGGCTACCCGCAGGGCCCACCACCGCAGGTAAGGAAACGTGTATCCCGATAGAGTTCCCATTCAGCAACTGATGTGTTTGTAGATGCAATACCCGCAACAACCCCAGACCGTCATCGTGAAAGAAAAGAAGGACCGTGGCTGCCTGGGAACTTGTTTGGCAGTTCTTTGCTGCTGCTTCGTCTGTGAAGAGGGTTGCGAATGCTGCGCAGAATGCTGCGAAGTGAGTCCCTCTTGAGAGGCCAATGTATGGCTCCGGCTAACAAGCGCTAGTGTGCCGAGGACTGCTGCTAAATGGACAACTTCGGCGTCAATGAAACGGTTGTTATGAGATGCGAAGAACATTCGCGTCGCTTGCCCGGACGCTTGCGACAGCCCATACATATTGCCCCAGAGCCGGCCTACATCGAGTCTGGATTTGATACCCATAACACTCCGGCTTGGGAACTGTTGGGCGTGAACAGCTGTGGGGGCACCTGTTTGGGCGTTTTGGGGCTTCTTATGGCATGCACCGGCAATTGCTAGAGCCTACTACTATTATGTGATCCTGTGCTGCGAACGACATTGCAGTTTCTTTCTTAATTTCTGATGACAATCCATTATCCCGTACTCACGACGATATTGCTTCCACCAGCGTGCCTGCAAAACATGTCATTCGCAACAGCCGTGACAACCGTGATGACTGTTGATCGTAGCCGGTCGCCCAGGCCTTAGAAGTCCAAAGGCGCCTATGCGACCTGATCCAGCTACCGTGCGCGTCCGAACACATTGCGGGGCGAGACGAGGCGAGGCCGGTGCATTATTATTGGAGCCCCTAGACATTGCAGCGCGACGGGTATTGGATTAGAGCACCACGAATAGCGAGGGATGGATTGACTTGCTCTCGACTGACGTGCGCAAGCTAGACGGCAGTGAAGCGGCGTTGCAAAGCGGACGCTGCGACAAGGCCTGGGGTGAGTTCGGCAGGGGAAGTCTTGGCGCTGACGATTGGCGGAGCTCTAGGATAGGTGTTCGTTACGCGCGGCTCCAGCGCAAGCTCCAACAACACCACTATCCTTCAATTGCCTTTGCCTTCGCAACCCAGAGTTCGACCATGGGTACCGCCGCGGAGACAAGCCTTTTGGAGGGTGCCACGGGTCGGAATACCCGGGGCATGCTCCGCATCATCATCTTGGCCACCATTGCAGCTGCCGCCGTCTCCAGCCGTCTGTTCAGTGTCATCCGTTTCGAGAGCATCATCCACGAATGTTGGTACCCCGGCTGCCTCCACGCGCGCACTTGCTAATTGAATGTCTCGCAGTCGATCCCTGGTTCAACTTCCGCGCCACCAAGTACCTTGTCAAGCATGGCTTCTATAGCTTCTGGGACTGGTTCGATGACAGTACGCCTCGCGCTGCGCCCCCTCTCCACCCGCACGGCGTTCACAATGCATACGAAAGAGGAGTACGTTACTGATTTGTGCTTTTTGTAGGAACATGGCATCCATTGGGTCGTGTCACTGGCGGTACTCTCTATCCCGGTCTCATGGTTACCAGCGGTGTCATCTACCACGTCCTCCGCTTCCTGACCATCCCTGTCGACATTCGGAACATCTGCGTGCTTCTAGCGCCTGCCTTCTCGGGTCTGACGGCTCTTGCCACTTATCTGCTCACATCTGAAATGTCCGAGTCTCCGTCGGCTGGTCTCCTCGCCGCTGCGTTCATAGGCATTTCCCCCGGCTACATTTCCCGTTCGGTTGCTGGAAGCTATGACAACGAGGCTATTGCCATTTTCCTGCTGGTCTTCACCTTCTTCTTGTGGATCAAGGCGCTGAAGAACGGCTCTGCTTTCTGGGGCGCCCTCTGTGCGCTGTTCTACGGCTACATGGTGTCTGCGTGGGGTGGATATGTGTTCATCACTAATCTGCTTCCATTGCACGCTTTTGTTCTCATCTGCATGGGTCGTTACAGCCCGCGTCTATACGTTAGCTACACGACCTGGTATGCGCTGGGCACGCTTGCCAGCATGCAGATTCCTTTCGTCGGCTTCTTGCCTATTAGGAGTAGTGAGCACATGGCCTCTCTTGGTAAGCAACACGCGGATCCCATCCTCCGGTTTTCTTTTTTCTGACCTATATTAGGTGTTTTCGGCCTGCTGCAGATCGTTGGCTTTACCGAATGGGTCAGGACGCAGCTCCCGACCAGACAGTTCCAGACTCTCCTCCGCAGCCTGGTTCTACTGATTTTCGTCGTTGGTTTTGGTGGCCTTGTCCTCCTTACCGTTTCTGGCGTCATTGCTCCCTGGACTGGCCGTTTCTACTCGCTCTGGGACACGGGATATGCGAAGATTCACATTCCCATCATTGCTTCCGTCTCCGAACATCAGCCTACTGCCTGGCCTGCTTTCTTCTTCGACCTGAACATGATGATCTGGCTCTTTCCCGCTGGTGTCTACATGTGCTTCCGCAAGCTCACCGACGAGCAAGTCTTCATTGTCATCTATGCCGTCCTGGCCAGCTACTTCGCCGGCGTCATGGTTCGCCTCATGTTGACTCTTACGCCGGTTGTTTGCGTTGCGGCGGCCATGGCTCTTTCCCAGATTCTGGATTCCTACCTTGTCGTGCAGACTCCCGCTGCAGTTGTCAAGGCCAAGGCCAAGGAGAACGGAGCGAGCGTCGAGGAGGTTGCGTCTTCAATTCTGCCAGCTTCGCTACGCTCCACTCGTGAGCCCCTCGTTGGCATCTACTCGTACGCGTCGAAGCTTACTATTGTCGCGTCGACCACCATCTACCTGCTCCTGTTCGTCCTGCACTGTACCTGGGTTACGTCGAACGCGTACTCGTCCCCTTCGGTCGTTCTTGCAAGCAAGCTTCCTGATGGAAGCCAGCACATCATCGATGATTATCGTGAGGCTTACTACTGGCTCCGTCAGAACACACCAGAGAACGCCAAGATCATGTCTTGGTGGGACTATGGTTACCAGATTGGTGGCATGGCGGATAGGCCTACCCTTGTCGATAATAACACGTGGAACAACACCCACATTGCCACCGTTGGCAAGGCCATGAGCTCCCGTGAGGAGGTCAGCTATCCCATCATGCGCCAGCACGAGGTCGACTACGTTCTTGTTGTCTTCGGTGGCCTCCTTGGTTACTCCGGCGATGACATCAACAAATTCCTGTGGATGGTCAGGATTGCCGAGGGCATTTGGCCTGACGAGGTCAAGGAGCGTGAATTCTTTACGCCCAGGGGCGAATACCGTGTCGATGACCAGGCGACTCCTACCATGAGGAACAGCTTGATGTAAGTCCAACATCTCTACGGCCGCCGTGCTTAGCTGACAATGTTTCAGGTACAAGATGTCCTATTACAACTACAACTCCCTCTTCCCCGCTGGACAAGCCACTGACCGTGTCCGCGGCGCTCGTCTTCCTGCTGAAGGACCGCAGCTCAGCACTATCGAGGAGGCGTTTACCAGCGAGAACTGGATTATCCGCATCTACAAAGTCAAAGACTTGGATAACCTCGGCCGAGACCACGCCAGTGCTATGGCATTCGAGAAGGGCAACAAGAAGAAGCGTGCCGCCAAGAAGAAGGGCCCGAAGGTCTTGCGAGTTGAGTAAGACGCTGGATTGGATGCAGGGTTGCTTGCTTCTCTCTTATTAGCGGAAAAATGAAAAGGATTTAGATGTGTATATTACAGACGCCAGGAAAGCAAAGGCGTGAGAAATACCAAAAAATGCATCACTGCTGGCGGTGGCCCACGAGCATGGTGGTGCCTCACTTTCATTCACACCCATAAGCGAGAGCGGCCGGTGGTTGGTGTCACTGCCCATCCCATGACACCAATGTCGTTTGCCCGAGTCTCCAAAATCTTCAGCTGCCGCCCAACTATTTAGTGCCTCTTGTTGCACTGCACACGCCTTCGCCGTTGACGCTGTTTTGCCGCTCACATAAGTCAAGTACCGCTCCTCCGCACCTGCCCCAGGCCCTCACCTGGAGCGCCTGCTCAATCGCCGACTTGGCGACTGGCTTTCCTGCGTCGCGCCTTCCGACAGAGGCTGACATCCAGTACCTAGTGGCACCGCGACGATCCAATCGCTTCTTTTCGCGGAAGCCGCAGGTGCGGCCGTTCATTGAATTCGACGCTTTCCACTACTCCAATCCGCTCCCAAACCCACCTCACAGCGGTATCGAGGCGCCACCGCCACCTCACTACCTTCCATATCGCTACGATCCCGCTGAAAGCTTAATGTCAGGATGCACCCTTCTCCCCGCCGAGTATCACGCTGACATATCGGCAGACTCAGATCCCCACACATCTTGTCCGATTCCTCTCTTGAGGCTCTCGTACCCGGCTTCTCAGTGGACAAGTTCATGAAACACGTCACAACGCCGAAGGAGATGCCTTCACGCTCCCCTTCTCCACTTTCACCTGGAATACTTCCTGCCCTGCCCGCAGGGAACTGGGGGCCAGACCCTCCTCGCGGCTATCCTTATGGCAACCAGCTTATGCCTCCACCTCACCTGCAACACCCTGGCTTCTACGGACCTCCGCCGTGGCTTCTGCCGCAGCCGATGATGCCGATGATGCCACCGCCACCTACAGATCGTCCACCATCACACGGGCACCCTCCTCCGCCTGCTCCTCCTGCGCCTCCCCCGCCATCCCATGAGCCCGTACAGCCGAAGGGGATCACAGTCTCACACACTAAAGACTCACCGGCGGCTACATCGACTGCCTACTTTGGAGATTCTTACAATCTCAAGATATCCGACCATCGCTCGAGCCACAAGCACGTGGCTCTGCAATACCACATCTGCTCAATCTGCCGCAGACCGCGTTCGAAAAGATATCAGGAGCAGAATCCTCCAGTCCCGGGTCAACAGATAACTCCTGAACCTTGCCGGAAGTGCCGATCAGCCATAAGCTCAAGCTCGAGTGAGGACGACGGGATGGTCATAACCAACAAGCCAGGAAAACGTGCTGTCAGAGAGAGTGAGAGTATTCGCATTGTTGCTATGGAAGACAAGGATCTCCGCAACCGTCGACGTCATCGGCACAGGTGAGTTAGGTCTTCTTTGACGTTGAGCACTAGAGACTGACACTGAATTTTGAAGTAGGTCTGGAAGCAGGACCAGGCTTGTGGTTCGGGAGCGGCGTTCCAGTAGCCCTGCATCCCCGCGTGGCCGTCATCGAACGGCTGATCGCCAGGATGTCATTACCATTGAGGAGACCGAGGAACATACTCGTAGGTCGCACGGAAGACCCAAAGGCCAGAAGAGAATCCATACAAAGGATTCGGAGGGGGATCGGCGGAAACCTCCTATCAATCCCATGAATGACGACTCCACCTTGATTAGGCGCACCAGGGAGCTGTGTACACACTCTGTCAGCCCGGAACCAGCAGTGATTCGTGAGCAAAGGTACTCAGCAGTTGTACAGAATGACCCTCCTTCTCGACCAGGTCCAAACCGAAAACCCTCTGTGCATCGCCAGGTGAGCGATGCCGAGCGTCGCCTCCGTGAGCACCCACAGGCCTTCCGTCATGGGGTCATGGTTTCTGCTGGCCACAACGATTCACTCCGGCATGTACAAAACTCTCATGCACCTGCTATGCAACCACTTCCGCATCCTAGATCGGAATTGAAGTATAAGGAAGATCCTTCTCCACCGCGTCGACCACGCGAGCAAAGGCGACACACGATCGCTTATCCATCGTACGGACCTGATGAGCACTCCACCAACACAAAAGTGCGCGGAATCCTACGGTCTCACAGCCGACCTCAGCCGAGGCACTGGTCGCCATCCCCAGAAAAGGGCCCCAAGGGGGGTGACATTGAAGAGGTAGGTGTTAGCTACGAAGGTCCACGGGTATCGTTTGCCCCGGAGCCTTCAAGCTCTCATCGGAGAGCCAAGTCACAGCATTACGAGCAAGTAGAAGCTCGGACTCGTCCGGTTGAGAAGAGCGCGCGAAGGCATAAACCACATGCCGATGGTCACATCAACAGTTCAAAGTCTGTCCCTGACACTGGTAAGTGTCATCGTTAGCAACTAAGCTACACTTCGCTGAAGGATGCTAAGTAGCGTCCAAACCTAGGATCTCACCGCTTGAACGACTATGGATACTGGCAAGAGCCACCGCGAATGAGCTCTCAGTCTCGTCACGACGACGCAACGCACAAACTAGACCAAGACGCCGCAAAAGGCCGCATTGCTCGTAAGGCCTCTTTCGGCGATGATTTGGATACTGCCCCAGCCAAGCAACGTGTCCGCTACGTCCACACCCCTGATCACATCACGTACTACCGATCACCCACGCCTCCTATTGGAGCACCTACGCCCGAGGCAACAAAGTACACGGACTATTCAGGAACGCATCCCCTGCCGAAGCCACTTGAGAGCACGGTACCATGGTCGCAGAGGTCTATAGGTGAAAGCAGTAATGCGAGCGGCGGTTCGTACAAGCTGGTCGATGTCAGAGATATCGGCGTCGTTGACGAGCGTGGCCGTACTGTGAGGGTCCGTGAGATAGAAGAGACCCATCACCCAAGAAAGGAAAGTGACCGGGGCGGAGACCATGAAGCTAAAGGCAGGGACAACCCAATCGGCCACAGAGCAGTTCAGCATGCTGGTTGGAGAGATGTATGAATGGCGTGGAGCAACAGTATCCATAGGTTGTTGCTACGGCAGGATCCGGTAACGAGCCGATTGCCTTGCGCAGAGCGTGCGCGTATTATCCGAGAAAGTGAGAGGGTTGAGGCATTGGGGACTACAAGTGGCTATCCAAGGTACCAAGGTACGAAGTATTGAGTGGTGAAGCTGGATCTGACGACTGGAGCTCATGCGGAGCCAACGAAGTCGGTTTTCCAGGTCGCACATCGGCGGTCGCACAGATAGAAAGCTATCATGATAGGAAAATGGCATTTTAGAAACAGAGCACGGTAGTAGTAGTGAAAGAGTGCAACTGCATGAAGAAAAGCTGTCTGGACCTACATCTGCGTCGAGACTTCTGCTTCGACTGCCCATACAAAGGATCGCCGTAGGTTAATTTCTTTCTACACCCACCGTGACCATGTCACCTCTCACCACATCGATCAATCTTAAGACTCTCTGGCTCTTGCCACTCGCTGACGCTCCGTAACTCATCGAAAACAAATACTATTATTACTTTAGGCATATATATAAGTAGATGAGGAAAAAAAATGACTTACGGCAATCGTTTGTGTGGACAATCAAAGCAAGTGTGCCGACGTAGATTTAGGGTTGAACGGCCTTTCTTCATAAGCAGATATAGGGATGCAGGTGGGTGAATTTCTTTCGTCACCCACTGCGGTACAAGTGAGCGGCGTGCCGCTAAAACCAAAGCGGAAGTGGCGCGCCAAGATTGCAGCTTGGAGCTCCAGCATTTTCGCGTCGACGGCCGACAACTGACATCCGTCCTCCACCTCGCCTCCTCTGCGCCACCGTCTCCCGCATTGCCCGTCCATTGCCTGAAACTCGACGCGCCCACAGGCAATGAGACTCCCGACTCGCACTTAATCCGAATATCCACTACCTCACGGGTCGTCGAGAAGACCATTTCTTCATCGCCACGCCGGCGCGACACCGTAACATAATCCATCCACCATGGCGCAGGATCCGAACAGGCTTGCGCAGTTCAAATATGCGGCCATGTCCAACCTGGTCCTCCAGGCGGACCGGCGCTTCGTGACACGGCGAGGCGACGATGCCACGGGTGACCCGGAGTCGCTGGCAGGCCGCATTAGCATCAAGGAAATGGGTGGCCGTGTGGCTCGCGATAGCGCGCCGACGGACAAAAAGAAGAAAAAGCAAGGCGGCCTGGCCGACATCGAGCGTGGCGACATCCACGAGGGCGAGGACGTGCTTGAACGCGAGCAGAAGAAGCGCAAGCGCGGCGAGCCGCAGCAGTTGCGCGGCACCGGCATCCTGAGCCAGGCGGACTTGCTCGTCGAGGACCTGCGCTACCGGCCGCGCACACCTGCCACCAGGGCCACGTATGAGCTCATCACAACCATCGTGGGCAGGCATCTGGGCGACGTGCCGAATCACGTCGTGCGCAGTGCCGCGGACGCGGTGCTGGAGTACTTGAAGGATGAGAACCTCAAAGACTTCGACAGGAAGAGGGAGGTCGATGACATCTTGGGGTCGACTATGGGCTCAAAAGAGTTCAACGAGCTTGTCAACCTGGGCAAGAAGATCACCGACTATGACGCCCAAGACGATGACGAGGAAATGGGCGATGCGGCGGATGGGGCTGCCGGCGCGGACCTAGACGAGAAGCAGGGTGTTGCGGTCGTTTTCGATGAGGATGACGAAGATGACGAGGAGGCGGGCCAGACATTTGAGGTTCGGGATGAGAATGACACCTCGGACGAAGAAGAAGGAGACTTTGCTGAACGGCAGGGCGCTGAGGGGGCTACAGCTGCTGGCGGCGGTATTCTAGCTGAAGAGGAGGGCGGCGACAAAGTGGAAGGCGAGGAGGAGATGATCATCGACGGCGGTATGGACGCATCCGCGGCGGAAAAGAAAGGCGCGGACAAGCCGATCCCGGCCCACGAAATCGATGCATATTGGTTACAACGCCAGATTGGACAGATATATGAGGACGCACATATCCAACAGGAAAAGACCCAGGAAGCACTGCAGATACTGTCTGGGGAGACCGAGGATGATGAGGAAAAGCCACTCCGCGAGATCGAGAACGATCTCATGGAACTTTTCGATTGGGAACACCACGAACTCGTCGCGAAGCTCGTTACTAACAGGGACAAGGTTGTATGGGTCACCAGATGGCGTAGAGTCGAAGATGACGCCAACGCGCGGGTAGCTGTTGAAAGGGAGATGATTGCCGCCGGACATAGGAGCATCTTGAACGAGTTGCGGTCAAGGGAAGAAGCACCTGCGGATGCGCCTGCACCGAAGAGGATGAAGGTCGATCTCATGGACATCGATGTTCCCAAGGCAGAGGAGAAGCCGGACGCCGCCAAGGATAGCGGGTTGGTCGGTGGTCTCCAACCCAGGAGGCTTATCAACTTGGAAAATCTGGTTTTTGAGCAGGGGAATCACCTCATGACCAATCCAAATGTCAAGCTCCCCCAGGGCTCAACGAAGCGGACCTTCAAGGGCTACGAGGAGATACACGTTCCGGCACCGAAGCCCAAGAGAGACCCCAACGATCCGCCGGACCTGCCTGTCAGTGAGTTGCCTGAGTGGGCGAGAGTCGGGTTTGGTACCTCGAAGAGCCTCAACAGGATTCAAACCCGCTGCTACCCCACAGCCTTCAAGGACGACGGCAACATGTTGATTTGCGCGCCCACCGGTTCCGGAAAGACGAACGTTGCCATGTTGACCATGCTCCGTGAGATCGGCAAGCACAGGAATCCGGAGACTGGGGAAATCAACTTGGACGAGTTCAAGATCATCTACATTGCCCCCCTCAAGGCCCTGGTGCAGGAACAAGTCGGAAACTTCGGCAAGAGGCTTGAGCCATATGGCATCAAAGTCTCTGAGCTTACAGGTGATCGTCAACTTACCAAGCAGCAGATTGCGGATACCCAAGTAATTGTCACGACCCCAGAGAAGTGGGATGTCATCACTCGCAAAGCCACCGATACAAGCTATACGAACTTGGTGCGGTTGATTTGCATCGATGAAATCCATCTGCTGCACGACGATCGTGGTCCCGTCTTGGAAAGCATCGTCAGCAGAACCATCCGCCGCCAAGAGCAGACGGGCGATCCCGTGCGCCTCATTGGTCTCTCTGCCACCCTTCCCAACTATCGTGACGTTGCCAGCTTCCTGCGGGTCGATCCCGTCAAAGGTCTCTTTCACTTCGACGGGACTTTCAGGCCTTGCCCTCTGAAGCAGGAGTTCATCGGTGTCACCGACAAGAAGGCCATCAAGCAGCTGAAGACGATGAACGATGTCTGCTACACAAAGGTGCTAGAGCAAGTTGGGCAACAGGACAATCAGATGCTCATTTTCGTCCATTCGCGAAAGGAGACGGCCAAGACGGCCAAGTACATTCGCGACAAGGCTTTGGAGTTGGAGACGATCGGACAAATCCTGCGCAGTGATGCTGCCAGCCGGGAGATTCTCCGGTCAGAATCCGAAGGTGTACAGAACGCGGATTTGAAAGATGTGATGCCCTACGGTTTTGGTATCCACCATGCTGGTATGAGCCGCGCTGACCGTACCTCCGTGGAGGATCTTTTTGCAGATGGTTCCCTTCGCGTGTTGGTTTGCACTGCTACGCTGGCTTGGGGTGTCAACCTTCCTGCCCACACAGTCATCATCAAGGGCACTCAGATATACTCGCCTGAGAAGGGTAGCTGGGTTGAGCTAAGCCCGCAGGATGTGTTGCAGATGCTGGGTCGTGCCGGTCGTCCGCAATATGACACATACGGTGAAGGTATCATCATCACGACGCAATCCGAGCTACAGTACTACCTGTCACTCATGAACCAGCAACTCCCCATTGAGTCGCAGTTCATGAGTAGGCTAGCCGACAACCTCAACGCCGAAATCGTTCTTGGAAACGTCCGGACGCGAGACGAGGGTGTCGAATGGCTCGGTTACACTTACTTGTACGTCCGTATGCTCCGTTCACCAGGACTCTACAGCGTCGGTGCCGAGTACGAGGACGACGAGGCGTTGGAACAGAAGCGAGTCGATCTCATCCACTCGGCCGCTGCTGTGCTAGAAAAGTCAAACCTTGTCAAATACGACAAGAAGAGCGGCAGATTGACAGCTACGGAGCTTGGTCGTGTTGCTTCGCATTACTACATCACCCACAGCTCCATGGCTACCTACAACATGCACATCCAGCCCAACATCTCTACCATCGAGCTTTTCCGCGTCTTCGCTCTCAGCGACGAGTTCAAATACATCCCGGTCCGCCAGGATGAAAAGCTTGAACTTGCCAAGCTCTTGGGACGTGTTCCCATTCCGGTCAAGGAGAGCATCGAGGAACCCCACGCCAAAATCAACGTTCTTCTGCAGGCCTATATCTCGCGTCTCAAGCTTGAAGGCCTGGCTCTGATGGCCGATCTTGTGTACGTCACCCAGTCGGCTGGTCGTATTCTGAGGGCAATCTTCGAGATCTGCTTGAAGAAGGGCTGGGCTCACGTCGCGAAAACGGCATTGGATCTGTGCAAAATGGCCGAGAAGCGCATGTGGCCCACCATGACGCCTCTCAGACAATTTCTCAACTGCCCCCGCGACATTGTGCAGAAGGCTGAACGTATCGACGTGCCCTGGTCGAGCTACTTTGACCTTGACCCGCCGCGTATGGGTGAGCTTATGGGCCTTCCTCGTGCCGGCCGTACCGTCTGCGCCCTTGTTGAGAAGTTCCCTCGCCTCGAGATCCAGGCCCATGTTCAGCCAATGACGCGGTCAATGCTACGCATGGAGCTGACCATCACCCCAAACTTTGTGTGGGACGAGACTTTGCATGGCAACGCCGAGAGCTTCTGGATCATCGTTGAGGACTGTGATGGTGAGGAGATCCTCTTCCACGACCAGTTCCTTCTGCGTCGCGAATACGCCGCCTCGGAGGTGAATGAGCACCTGGTTGAGTTCACGGTCCCCATCACGGAACCGATGCCTCCTCACTACTTCATCACCGTCGTATCCGACCGGTGGATGCACTCGGAAACGAAGATTGCCGTGTCCTTCCAGAAGCTGATCTTGCCGGAGAAATTCCCTCCGCACACTCAGCTCCTGGACATGCAGCCTTTGCCCGTCGCTGCCCTCAAGAGGCAGGATTTCACCGGTTTGTACCCCAACTGGGAGCGGTTCAACAAGGTCCAGACCCAGACGTTCCCTGCTCTCTTCCAGCAGGACGACAACGTCTTCGTCGGCGCATCGACCGGCATGGGCAAGACCGTGTGCGCTGAATTTGCTCTGCTGCGGCACTGGGCCAAGGAAGACGGCGGCAAGGCAGTCTACGTCGCCCCCTTCCAGGAGTTGGTTGACAGCAGATACAAAGACTGGAAACAACGCTTGGCAAACGTGGCCGGTGGCAAAGAGATTGTCAAGCTTGTCGGTGACACGACCTCGGACCTTCAACTGCTGCAACAGGGTGATCTCATCCTCGCGACCCCTCAACAATGGGATGTCATCTCGCGGCAATGGCAGCGCCGTAAGAACGTCCAAGCAACGCAGCTCTTCATTGCCGATGATTTGCACATGCTTGGCGGACACGGTGGCTTCGTCTACGAGACGGTAGTGTCGAGGATGCACGCAATGACGCTGCAGCTGGAGTCCGAGATGCGTATTGTTGGCCTGAGTGTCTCGCTCTCGAACGCCCGCGACATTGGCGAGTGGATTGGGGCTACCAAGCACACCATCTTCAACTTCGCTCCTGGCGTTCGGTCCGTGCCGTTGGAGCTGCACATCCAGTCCTTTACCATCCCCCACTTCCCGTCACTCATGCTCGCCATGGCCAAGCCTGCCTACCAGGCGGTGCTGCAGATGTCACCGGATAAGCCCGCGATGATTTTCGTTCCGAGTCGCAAGCAGGTGAGGAACACCGCCCTCGACCTGCTTGCTGCCTGCGTTGCCGATGATGATGAAGATCGCTTCCTGCATGCCTCCATCGAGGAGATGCAGCCGGTGCTGGAGAAGATCGCCGAGCCCGCCCTGGTCGAGTCTCTCTCGCATGGTATTGGCTACTACCACGAGGCTCTGTCAGCCTTCGACAAGCGCGCGGTCGAGCACTTTTTCCGTGTCGGTGCCATTCAAGTTCTCCTCGTCTCGCGTGACTGTTGCTGGGAGATCAACGTTAACGCTCACCTGGTCATCGTTATGAACACGCAGTTTTTTGAGGGCAGAGAGCACCGCTACATTGACTATCCCATCAGCGAGATCCTGCAAATGTTTGGCAAAGCCGGGCGCCCGGGACAGGAGAAGCTTAGCAGGGGTGTCCTGATGGTGCCTGCCGTCAAGCGTGAGTACTACAAGAAGTTCTTGAATGAGGCCCTTCCGATAGAGTCGCACCTTCAGGTCTTCCTTCACGATGCGTTCGTCTCTGAGATCAGCACCCGCATGATATCGTCCACTCAGGATGCCGTTGACTGGTCTACCTATACCTACTTTTACCGCCGCCTGCTTGCGAATCCCAGCTACTACGGTCTGACCGATACCTCGCACGAAGGTCTCAGCGCTCACCTGTCAGAACTGGTCGAGACCACTCTCAAGGATCTTGTTGACGCCAAGATTATTGAGCTGGATGAAGACGATGATTCCATCACACCGCTCAACCCAGCCATGATTGCCGCCTACTACAACATCTCCTTCATCACCATGCAGACTTTCCTGTTGTCGCTCAACGGGCGTACCAAGCTCAAGGGTATCCTCGAGATCATCACCTCGGCAACGGAATTCGAGGGCATCCAAATCCGGAGGCACGAGGACCATGTCCTGCGTCGCGTGTATGACCGTCTACCGGTCAAGATGGCCGAGGCGTCATACGAGTCGCCGCACTTCAAGGCGTTCGTTCTCCTGCAGGCTCACTTCGCGCGCATGCAGCTCCCGGTCGATCTGGCCAAAGACCAAGACACGATTTTGAAAAAGGTTCTCCCGCTTTTGCAGGCTTGCGTCGACGTGCTCTCGTCCGACGGACACCTCAACGCCATGAACGCGATGGAAATCTCCCAGATGGTGGTGCAAGCCATGTGGGATCGCGACAGCCCGCTCAAGCAGATCCCGCACTTCGACAACCAGCTGGTCGAAGAGGCCAATGCGGTTGGAGTTCAGGATGTGTCAGACTTCATCGATGCCATGGATCCGGAGGCGCCCAACAACAAAGAGCTCGTGCGACGGCTCAACTTCTCTGGCGCGCAGCTGGCCGACGCGGCGCGCTTCGTCAACGAATTTTACCCCGACCTGTCAGTCGAATTCGACGTGCTGGAACCCGATGACATCGCGGCCGGCTCGCCCGCGTACCTCGATGTCACGATCACGCGCGAGATGGACGATGAGGAAGAAGAGGCACCGAAGACGAGGGCTGTACATGCGCCTTTCTATCCTGCCGACAAGACCGAGTCATGGTGGCTGGTCGTTGGCGACGAACACACCAAGAGCCTACTTGCCATCAAGCGTGTCAACGTCCAGCGCGAGCTCAAGGTCAAACTGGAATACGTGGTCCCCACGGCCGGCGACCACGAGCTGACTCTGTACCTGATGAGCGACAGCTACGCGGGCGTGGATCAGGCACCGACGTTCAAGGTTAGTGTAGCGGAGGGCATGGAGGAGGACGAGGATGAAGAGGATGAGGAGGACGAAGAGTAGGATGGGTCGAGGGGGCTGGTTGTTTGACAGAGATTTCAGTGCTTACTGGTTGGGAATTGCAAAACCGGCGTTGAATGTCGTTAGGGAAGAACTGGGTTGATAGAGCGTAGCATATCCTAATGGGCTACTTCAATTGTATTCACTGCGTGTAACATACGATCACCAACTTCAGACTGGGTGGCTGGCTCGTTGCTTCGTGCGGGCTCTCCACAATTCATGCTTGGCTCTGCGGTATTTTAAACCTCGTTGTCTGCTCTCGTGTCTTGCATAGCGTTTGAAATTCCCTTATCTACCATATAATTTCCTACTCTTAATGACACGCGACGGTCTTGGTGGCACTTGCGCCGCCGCCCCCGCTGGCGTCTCCGAAGGCGAGGTAGCCGACAAAGGCACCGACAGCGACGGCGAGCATGACCCAGCCATTGTAGGTCATGAAGAGGAGCATGATAAAGAACGAGTAGAAGACCTGGACGGCGTAGAGCACGGCCTTGATCACCTTTACCCGTTTTTCCTCGCGCGCCGACCAAGCGACGACTGCGCGGCCGCCGACGCCGCTGTTGTTTGCTGTTGTTGTTCCGAGTAATGAGCTCGATTCGTCAAAGCGGCTGTCTTCGTCGACGACTGAATGGATGCGAGGGTCTTTTGGGGTGGAATGACATGGTGGGATTTGCGTAAGCCCGGTTCTTTCTCTCGTTCCATTGAAGGAATTGAAGGGCAAGAAACTTGGACCGGGGGGTACCCCGATGGAGAAGGCGACGGAGAAGGCTGATGACTTGAAGCAAATGCAGAGAGGGGCATGGGAGAGGAGAGTTGGGGAGCGTACCAGGCACGCCTGAGCCACCAATTCTAACGCCGCCCTGACGCGCGGCGACCGAGGCCTCGTAGCGGCGGGACATCTCGCGCACCAGCTCGTAGCCGGCGCACAGCACGACGACGCCGGCCAGCGAGACGATCAGACTCCAGGTCGAGCCGACGTGCCAGGACCGGAACACGATGCAGAGGTCGGTGGTGTCCCAGGTGAAAAGCATCTACAACCGCGCTCGCCGTCAGTATGCAGCAGTCGGAGACAAGTCGAGAGACGAACATTCATGTTGCACTTGGGCCCGTCGCCCATGTCCATGCCGCCGTGGCCGCCATGGCCCATGTCGCCGTGGTCCATATGGCCGTGATCCATGTGTCCGTGGTCCATGACGGTGGTGGTCGAGAAAAGCTGTGTGGTCGAGGTGGGAGGTGAGGATTGACGCGATAGCTATGGGGGCTCGGGTAAGCTACGGGCAGCCTCGTCGGCGCCGACGCCACGGGCGACTGACACATGCAGCGATGAGCAAATAAGAGGTGGTTTCATCGTCTGACAGATGCAGCGGCCCGTGGCGTAACGATCGTGCTGAGGGCCGACACCAGCCAACTCCAAGCCAACCCCACGCCGACGCCCTGTCCTTCTCCTCGCCCGCGCGGCTCGTCCGCCCCGCCCGTGCCAGCCAAGGCGGCGACTGGGGTGGAGCCAGCGACCGGGCCATAGCTCCCGCGCGTCTCACGTCACGCTGATCCGCGTTTCGTGATTTCTCATCCACCACCAACCGCCCCGCCTCCGCTTTCTTCAGATGGCTTGACTGCACAACACAGAGTCACAGTTGCTCGATATCCAAGTCGTCTGGCATCTTGCCCGCACCCGGCCCTCGGCGTTTCGCAAATGCAACGGCCCCTCCGTCCCGCCGTCGCCGCGGCGCGTCGCCTCGCAACCACCGCCACCTCGCGGAGACGCGCTATCATCCACACACCCGCTCTTGCGCCAGTCAGTCATGTATTCGCGACGAGGTTCTTTTCCTCCACCGTGGCGGCGCTCGGTGTAGGCGGTCTCCCTTTACCCATCAATCTGCCGAAATGGTAAAGAAGCTCTTCCGATTTCCTCCGTCACTAGGCCCGGCCCCAATGCTGATGCCTCTTCTCTACTTACAGGCTCGCCGAGAACGGACACCTCCTCCAACCGCCGGTTAACAACTACTGTGTCACAAATGAGCATATGACGGTCATGATAGTGGGCGGACCCAATGCTCGCACCGACTACCACATCAACGGCACGCCCGAGTGGTTCTACCAGTACAAGGGGCGCATGCTGCTCAAGGTCATCGATGAGGAGCACGACTCGCCGACCAAGCCATTCCGCGACATCTACATTGACGAGGGGGAGATGTTCTTGCTGCCGCCCAACGTGCCGCACAATCCAGTGCGCTTCGCGAACACAGTTGGAATCGTACTCGAGCAGCCTAGGCCGGCGGACAGCGTGGACAAGCTGCGATGGTACTGCCAGGGTTGTGGCGGCCAGGTGCACGAGAAGAGCTTCCACTGCACTAATTTGGGCACGCAGATCAAGGAGGCCGTGAACGCCTTCAAGGAGGACGAGCATGCGAGGACATGCAAGAAGTGTGGGACGCTGTGCGATGTTGTGCCAAAGCACGCGTCGTGAGATTGTACCCAAATGAAGTGCCGGTTTTGCTGACAACGCAAGGACAAAGGCTACCTGAAGAATAAATACCGGAAGAATGGCAGCGGACAGGAATGCCATATTCCCATAATTTGCACTGGTGGGGTTGAGAGACGACTGCCGTGGGCTGAGCAATTGTGTTTCTTATAGCGATGCTTCCTACCATGTTCTGCTGGACTATAGGCCTTTCCAAGCCAATTTGGTAACGTGATCCGTCTTCTTCCTGCTGGCTTTGATAAGTCCAAGGTACTTCAGCTCAGCGAGCGACCGCTGGAATAGCGCCCTATGATACTGTCAACAAAACTCGTTGCTCATGCATGGCGCCCAGGGCTTGCTCACATGGGCATGCTCTGATCTTCCTCGTCCTCGCCGACAATGGCGTTGAACGCAAGCCACAAGTCGTTGACGTTGATGAGGTTACCCGATTCCAGGTACAACTGATATAAGATGGCCGTCGGTGGTTGGGTCGACGAAAGAGACCCCTCTGTGCCCTTGGCCCCCTCACAGCAGCTACATCCCAGGTAATCGTGTGGCGCCGACAGCGCCCTCTCAACTGCAATGCGCGGTTTTGGCGTGAAGACGTCCCTATGTGGGCTTCTGAGGTCGTACATGACCACCTCATGGAGGAATAGGTTCTGAGGCTGCACCAGCATGTTTTCAAAATAGGCCACCAACCAGCCATGGAGCTCTTCGACGATCTCAGAATAAGCAGTGTCGGTGGCCGAAAGCGCGGACTTGTGCTTGCTCAGCTCGACCTTCTGCGCGACAATTGTCGTGCGCGTTGTGTCGTGGCGCACATCGTGAGCACTGCGCAGCGGCTGGCCGGTAGTTCCAGTGCTGATAATGAGCTCGTCTAGTTTGCCTTGAATTGTTGTAACCTTCTCATCCTTTGCAACTGATGCGGCGAGGACCGCGAGAAGATTGGAAAGCACATCGGAAGGGGCCTTCTTGACAGCGAGCAGGAAATCCCGTATCAACGGAGATCCGTTAAGGTCGCCCGAGGCTGCACGAATGTAGAGAGCGGACACAGGCATTGGCGAAAGCCTCGGGATAGCGTCGCAAAGACTTTTTAGGGTGAGGCACGCGTTCACGATGCCCTGGATCTTGTCTTGAGTGGTGATAATGTGCTCTTTGGCGTAGTCGAAGAGGTCCTCGTCGGATTCAAGTAGACTGCGTACGGTGGCGGCATCACGCTCATCCAACAAGTCCTCGGCCAGTCTAATACCGTCAGCTCTGGGTTGGGACTGACGATTCGGAGGTCGTACCCCTTGAATGAGTCTACGTTTCGTAGGGCCTCGATTTCATCACCGGAGACTTGCTCATACTCCAAATCTGAGCGGAGGAAAATACTTAGAGGGTTTGCAAAGAAGTGAGACATATAGGCATACTGTTTGGCGTCAGCTGGACGCCCGGGAGCGGGACAGACGGACCCTGACCTTCAGCGCATCGACAAACGTGTCTACGCTTTGTATGTGGTCTTTGTGCCTGTCAAAAGCTTGGCGGCTCAATTCAGGACCTAGCCAAAGAGGGGCACCGCCATCGATGGTCTTGAGAAAGACCTGCTCCAGCACCTCGTCCGCCTGCGCAACGTCGAATTTGTGCCCCTCAAGACACCGGATGGCAGCGCTGGGGAGCTTTTCTTGGAAGCCCTCGACTGACGTGGCAACGCCAAACAGCAGAACGAAGGGGATGCGATCTTGCCAGGAGCTAGAGACGGATCAGCCAGGAGCAAAAAAAAAAAAAAGGTAAAGCCACTGAAGCAGAGTACCTCAACAACTGGATGGCATCGGCTAGGAGAGGGCCCTCGAATGCCTCGCTGTCCCGGAAGGTGACGACAACACGGGCTGGGTTCGTCTCTTTGCACCAATCCAGAAGCAATTGCAAGTCATAGTTGAGCAGCTTGGGGCCCTTTCGCCGGGCAGCTACAAGCTCGTCGCCATCGTCATCGTCGGCAGAAGTGGCCTTGCGGATGAGATGCTTGAGCAGAGTTTTCAAGTTCGGGCACTCGCTCGAGGTCAGGGCGACGAAGGCGCTCCCGGCCTCGCCCACAGCCCTCTGGGCCAGGCTGTCGAAGAATTGGGCATGCGATGCGATGCTGGGGCCGGCAACGACCAGGCCGGTGGGGATTTTCCGGGGTGCGCCCTGGCCGAAGGCGGCCGCGTTGATGTAGTCGACGATGGCGGTCAGCGTCGCGCGGTGCACATGGTCCACAATCTCCTGAAAAGGGTAAGCGGGCAGGGGGTGTCGGCGGCGGGGAGGCTTACTACGTACGTCGATGCGCTCCTGCTGCGCGTCCCAGAGCTCGCGGCACGTCTTTTCGCGCAGCTCCCGGGACGTGCGTCGTCGCTTTGCCGGCCTCTCGTCGCGCGGCTTGAAGACGTAGCATTTTTCGTGTTCCATGCTGAGCGGGTTGCAGGATGGTGGGTTGCAGGTCGTCGTTGGTGCCATGGAAGCGCGTGCAGCAAGCGCGCCCTCACGCCCTCACGCGCGCACGTGCCAGCCGGCCCGGCTGTCCGTCTCATTGGGTATCTACTTTGTATAAACTACAGCCACTTCAGTCGTGGTCCTCTTCCGTCAGGCCCGGACAGCTCTCCATCTCCTCTTCGTCGGCGTACTTGTACTTGCACCAGAAGCAGTAGTTGTGCTTGTCGCGGAGATACTGGACGGCCATCTCCAGCTTCTTGTGCGGTTCAAGCGCATCGAACTCTTCCAGCTCGGTGTCTTCCTCGCCAAGATCCTCGTGCACGACCACCTTGGCCTTTGCCTGCTTCCCAAGCCCGAGCTGGTCGTCTTCGTCCTCCTCGTCGTCGTCATAAGTGGGTAAGCGCGTCAGCCTCTCCCCGAGAGCCTTGCGCATCAACCCCTCGCTTTCCTTCTCCATCCGGAACCGCACGAGGCCACGCCAGACCAACGGGATATTCTTCAGCGGCGTGCTCTTGTCAACAACGGTAGCATTCGTAGCCTCGCCTGGCTCTGTGTCCAACTTCTCGGCCGCCTTCTGCGCGCCGATGAACTGGCCCTCGGAGCGCTTGTTCTTGCGCTCCTGGGCCATGCTTGCGAAGTACTGTTCCTCAGTCTCCTGTTCAACCTTGGCCTTCTTCGCGTGCTCCTCGTAGACCTCGCGCAGCTTGCGCTTCTTCTCGGACTCCATGCCGATGCCCTCGCGGCCGTCCTTGATCTGGACCCGGACGGGCTCGGCAACGCCGTAGTCGCTCTTGCCCAGCTTGCCGCCCTCTTTGAAGCCCATCTTGGCCAGCATCTTGAAGCCCTTGTTGGAGCTGTCAATGGCTTTGTTCAGGGCGGCCTCGCGGGTGGCGGCTGCTTCTTCCTCCTGCTCACGCTTCGTCTTGTGGTTCTGGCTTCGCTCGACTCTCTTTACTAGGGGTGAGTGAGTGTCAAACAGGGCAAGACGCAGGTGGGCGTGGCAGCTTACCTCGCGCTTCTCGCGCTGCAGTCTCTGCAGCGCCGTCTCCTTCTTGCCCGGCTCCTCGATGATCATGTTCATGTAGTCGTCGTCGTCGTCGTCGTCGCCGTCGCCGCCGTCCTCGCCGTCGCTGTCGGCTGCCGCGGGGGCAGCAAGCGCCTTGTCTTGGGCACTGTCCGACTCGTCTTTGGGGTCGGGCGACCCATCTCTGGGGCTGGGCGACTCGTCGCTGGGGGCGGGCGACTCATCTTTCGGGTGGGACGACGACATGTTGACGCAGCAGGTGTGAATAGAGAAAGTGGTGAAGCTGTGACCTCATAGGCCCTGGCAGGGTTGGTCGGAGGCTCGGCGGCCGACAGGAACACGGCGCCCGGGCGGATTTCCAGCAGGTGAGGCCCGCGAGAGAGCTCGGCAACCCCGGCGACAGGAATGCTACCGTACCGTGCCCACCTCAGGTGCAGCCTCTCTCGCAAGCCACGGCGACAAGGCGCACTTCCGTTTGGCTCGCGTGACCCGGCGCCACCGCTGCGCCGTGCTCCTGCTCCTCAGGTGCATGCCCGACCCGGCATGGCTGCAAGCATCGCCGCAGCGTTCAGGGCAGCTGCGAGCGAGCACGCCGCGCTAAGCAACCGCTTGCCTCTTCCAGCTGCCGTCGCCGAACGCTTCGACCCTCCCTGACCCTCCCGTGGTGATCCCCCCCGGGCCAATCTCCTCTATTGGATCCTGGGGTTGCAAATGCGGGGAATCCTCATCAAACGACACCTCGACCTCTGCGATTCCTGCGCCTCGGCTGCGCCCTTTGACCAAGACGGCGCTGCTTCGTTTCGCCTCCACCACCGCGCTCAACACTGCCGGCTGACCAGGCCATGGCTACCCAAAACGCCCTCGCTGCCCTCGCTGCCCTCGCTGCCCACGCCTCGTGCTGCAGCCCTCTGAGCCGCAGAATCGATCCCCCAGGTCCCGGGCGCCAGGGTCCCCTGCGGCGTGCTGTGTAACGGCGGCTCCTGTGCAGCCGAGCTCTCACCTCCACTGGTTCCATGCAGCTCCCCAGCCCTGATCTGCAGCATGTGCCCGTTCAAATTTCTTTGATGCCTCGGTTCTCTTGTGCCAACTAGGCTGTCTTTTGATGCTGGCCCGTACGAGATGCCTCATTGGCCCACCTCGTCCTGACAGCACTGGCTATCCGCTGACGGTCCCTGCTTAGCCTGCGCACCTGGCGTCCATTCAACAAAGGAAGCTGTCTTTGCCTCTCGGTTGGCGCCGAAATGTGCAACTCTGTTCCCGGCTATTGTCTCCCCCGTTCAGGTGCAACGCCCGAGGAGCATGTGCTTCAAGAAGACCACCTGTCCGCACTATACCTACGTCTGGCCAGCTTCCCCGCTTCAGGTCTTTTCTTTCGCCCATGTCCTCCCCCTAAATACCAGGCACCACGGCCGCATCCACCACTTCCGTCCGCAAACACAACGTTGTGATGGATACCGCCAAGCCGACTGGCACTAACATCGAGTCCAATGGCGACACGACCTCGGGTTTCGTGAAGAAGGAGTCGTTCGGCTCAAAAGCGAAACGCCATTGCACGAGGTTCTGGTGGCTGTGGCTCGTCATCTTTGCCATCGTCATCCTTGTCGTCGTGCTGCCCATGTAAGCTTGCACCACGTCTCGTCGTCGTGCGCGAGCTAATGATTGTGCGATGATAGCATCTACGTGGGCGTGCCGCACAAGGGACAGGATGAGCTAAACAAAGCCGACGTCCAAGTAATACGCCAAGAGATCACCGACCCTCAGCCTAATTCCTTCCATCTTGTGCTGAACAACAACGTCACGAGCACCAGCAGCTATCATCCTACACTGTCCTCGTTCAATGGCTCGCTCTTCCTAGAAGATTCACTGCCAGACATCAAGCCGTTTGGCTACATTACCATCCCGGAGGTCAAATCCGAGAGCGAGGTCCAGGTTGACGTCGAGCAGGATGTAGAGGTTGCGGATATGGACCAGTTCATCGCCTACAACAAGCTGGTCATCAGCAGTGAAGAGTTCAGGCTCGGTTTGCGTGGACGGCCGTCCGTGAAGCTCGACGGCCTGCCCTCTTTTGACGTCGATTACAACAAGGTCGTCACGATGAAAGGTGAGGGTCGTGCGCTCTTCCACCCAGCAGTTACTGACATTCTACAAGGCCTCAACAAACTTGCCGGCTTGGCAATCACCTCGGCTGACATAAGGACCACCCCTGAGCCGGATGGCGCAACGCTTCTCGGCACGCTCTTCATTCCCAACCCGTCGGTGCTTGCCGTATCGATGGGTAACGTGACCATGGACCTTTCTGTCAACGGCACCTCGATCGGATACACGCTCATCCCGGACCTAAACCTCATGCCCGGCAACAACACGTTCAACATGCGCTCCTATGTCGACACCAAGCTCGTGCTCGGGCTCGTCACAAAGCAGTACACTGATTTCGTGCTCCCGCTCGATATCATCGGCAACCGCAGCGTCAACTCTGCGGGTGAGCGCATTCCGTGGCTGGAGGCGGCTATCAAGGAGAACACTATCCGCTACGATCTCGATCTCTCGACTGCTCTAGGCGGAGGTAGTTCATAGGAATACTTTGAAATAATCAGCATGAATGTCATCATCTGGCGGGGGTAGCTCATAGGAATACTTTGGAATAATTAGCATGAATGTGATAATCTGGTGGCAGTAAAACCATTCCCTACGGCTTGCTATTGGATTGTTTGCGAGTTTGTCAAGTTTCAGAAGGAATCCAGACCTCTTGATAAATTCATTGGATACCTGGCTAAACACCATGAGCGTAGTATCTACCATCCCTCGTCTCATGTGAAGTGCGCCACAACAAACGTCTGATAGATTGATTCTATGCCACGGTGCAATCGCTCCCCGATAGCGGACCAGCCCAGTCATAGACGAGCCTGATCCGCAGAACTTTTTTGCCAGACTGGTCCTTGACGACGACGTGCCTGGCATACCTCCTCTCGCCGTCAAGCAGCTCAAAGCCCCAGAACTGGTTGGCAGTCCAACCCAGCTCCTTGTTCTCGACGTACGTCTCGATAGCCTCGCCCCCTTCGAGGAAAGCGGGCTCCCAACCATCCTTCATCCATCTGCCGTCCTCATCGTCAGGCACGTCGGCAAGCTTGACTCTGCGGGAGCGGCCTCTGACCTCGCCAAAGACGAAATCTCTGTGGTCACGCCACTCCCAAGTGAGGGCACGTTCCTCGCGGGTACCCTGCAAGCCAGGTGTGATGACCTGGTCAATGTCAATGCGCTCGACGCCCTCGGCGTCTGTGTACTGCTTGTGGTTGAGCGTGACGGTGGCCAGGGCAATGGTCTTGCGAAGTAACCAGCCAACACCCTGCAAGTTCAAGACGGGATCGGTGTTGTCAGACTTCCCTTTGTTCTGTAGGCGAGGCCAGTCAGTCGGGCAGTAGCGGATAAGATGGACGCATAGCTATGAGAAAAGAAAAGGAAAAGAAAGGAGGCCACACCATGATCCATGAACCGTTGAGGTCATCGAGAGTCTTTTCCGGCGGAGCTGCCATGTTTTTATTTTGGACAAAAGACCAGAACAGACTGCGATCGGAGTATCGACAGCGGCTCGACCGAACAGGAAAAGAGACCAAGGCTACGTGGGGAGATGTTGGTATGCACAGGGAGAAGGAATCTATATAGCGGCCCCCCCCACGCTCTTCTCGGTCTTACTTGATGTCCAAGGCTCAGCCTGCCGTAGGATCGGAGGGTCGGATGTAAGGGCGTATGGATGCAAGATGGGCGACGGGCCGCAGCAGCTCGGCTTCACGTGTACCTAGGCTCTGATCCGTGGACGGCCTCGATGCGGGAATCTGCGGGGTAGCGCGGCCCCAGATTAGACTCCCGCCCCTTTTGTGGTTCTAAAAGCGACTCACCTGGCAGGCGGTTCGAGAGACCTCGGTCGGGCGTTGGGGATCGTGCGATGCGGTTGTAGGATCCAGGCAAGCACTGGAGGAGATTGGAGAGATGCGGCCGGCGCCATGCTCGGCGGATCCTTGCCCTGTCCTCTCGTCGATGACTCGCCAGCTGGCATCGGGCCTGACCGACAAGGTTCTGACTGGATGGCCCCCACCCCAGCTGCCTGTTCAAACGTCAATTACCGAAGAGGGACCAAGGCCTAGCAAATGGTAATCGTCCGCCACTCGCGCAGTTGGGCATATCTCATGCAAGCTTCGCTCTCTTGGTCCCACGGCCAATCTGCCAGGCCGAGCCTCGTGTAGCACTCGCGTTCGCCTTGGATTGGCCCCAGTACGAGCAAACATATCCATCGGGGGATCGTCTGTGTCGACTGTGCCGGTATGATCTGTGGCCCGGATCCGACGCCCAGCTCGAAGCACGTCACCGACACAGAGTCGGCCTTGTCGAGACCACGGTCCAGATGCACCTTGCCGGCGATGCGCCCGCAAGTGTTGAAGTAGGCCTTGTTCCAACCATCAGGTGCAAGTGTCACGACGTGTCGGGAGAACCATCCGGCTATCCGTATCCGGCACCCCTCCCGCACGCATCCAAAAGGCGCCTCGCTGCACTGGAGCTCGACGTGGGAGTCCTCGACGTGCGCCGTCCGCTCGAACGTGTCCAGATCATAGTCCCAGAACACCGGGCCGGTTGCGCACGCCCAGGAGAAGGATGGGCTGCGGTAGGGGTGCTGGGCAATTCCCTCGTCCGTCAACGTATGCAACGCGGTGCTGTCCTGCGTTGCCGAGGGATCCAGTCTCTCCACCTTCGTGGTGACGACTTTGGAATCGCGCGTACGCCATGTCATTGCCCACTCCAGCTCCTTTCGCCACATGCCGGCAATGTACTCGCCGCCCAACGTCTGCGATGCCAGGGCAGCTAACCCGGCAATGGCTGGCAGCTTGTCTGTCGGGTAGGTCAGACGGCGCGACGAATAGCGGAACTCAATCATGTCTCGGTACCATGCGCACAGAACCTTGGCCTGGAGGTCCCCCGAACACAGAGCTGATGAGCCGTAGAGAGAACGCTCCTCCCCATCGTCCAACCGGGGCATCAGCTGAGCCCTCATGTCCGTAAACGTCGGTCGCATGTGCCGCAGGTTTGCCGAGAACATGTCTTCTGCCTCGTATCCCTTCCGCGAACATTCCCAGATCAGCTGCTTGCTGGTGAAATGTAACACCCGTGGAGGCAGGATCGCTTCCTGCAGTGTCCATCCACGCTTCACCAGCATCTGATCCGGGTCGTCCTTGCCCGTGTCGCTCGGATCTCCAACGGGGCCGGTAAAGTCTACATTGGACGGCACCTCACACTCTTGTGAAATGTAGACTCTGCAGCTGCTCCCTGGCCCTCTGGTGCCAACGAGAATATCCAAATCCAAGTGCCTTCCCAGTGGCTCTTCGTCCTGCAGCACGCTTTGCGAATTGAACAGGCCGCCGTGACTGGATTTGCTACAATCTGCAGCCAAAGTCACGTAGCTGTGCGCGTAGATGTCACCCATCCGGCCGGATTCGACTGCCCAGTCGTCGGAGCTGTCTTGAATGATGCAGAGTGAATCGATCCAGAGATAACGCACTCCCAGTCTGCGGGTAGTCTGTACAGCGTGGCGAAAAGTGAGCGGCAGAGAAGCAAAGGGAATGCAATCCCTCCTTTCTTGAAGATTGCCATGTTTGGTGGTCATGGGCTGAGATGCAGTGCCCCAGCGGTGGCTCAGAGCTATGTACTGAATGTTTGGCGTCGTGAGTGAGGCCTCGGGCTGCGAGTTGCGGGGAATGAAACATACTTTAGAAGTGTTTTCCTCTTGCCAGGTCTCCACTAGTCTCACATCAAGACAAGGCTGGTCGAAAGCTTGAACATCGAGCAAGCGGCTGGCGGGGCTTCGATTGGCCTTCGTAAATGACGGCTGTGCTCGCTGACAGTCGTGAGAGGCATCGCACACGGCTAGCCAGCGCCGTGCTGTTGCGAAAGAAGATGCCGACCCGGTGTAGGTTAGCGATCTTCGGATATGGATGTCGTAGAAGCGTGAAATTTCATCTAAAAGACGTCCCGTTAGAAGCCTCAAGTCTGTGTCGCGCCAACTGAAGAGACCACCCCCAAAACGCTGTTATAAAATGACGTCCGCCATCTAACAACCGGAAATAAAGATGAAATATGCTGTGACTCACCGCAGAGATTTCCTTCACCGATGCTCAAACTAAAATAGAACCATGTCTTGTCCTCACCATATCCGTCCCGGCCCTTATCAAACATCCCCACTAGTCCTCTACCCGCTCCCTCGAATACCTCAATAGCGTAAAGCCGCCCCTTCTGCAACTCACACAACCGCTCTTTCGCTGCCTGCGAGACCTGAATAAGCCCGGGGAAGCGGCCAATCGGCACAATGATCCACGCGCTACACTCGTAGTCTGCGGATCTAATGCCCATGGACCACTTCACCAAAAAGTCGCAGAGCTGGCAACCACCGCCACCATCTCCACCGCATCTGGCTGATGCTCGGATTTCGGTCCAGGTAGGGTGGAAGGCGTGGCCAGTAGGAGATGTGAGGGAGGAGAAAGTGAGGGAGCGGCAGCAGGTGCACAGTACTTGTGCCCGGTCCGAAGGCAGCGGATTTGGGGGACTGTGAGACGGGTGGACTGTAGGGCGCGTGCTTTCTGCTGCGCATTCGGACGCCAAAATATGATCGGAGGGGTTTTTGGAGTCGGTGTGTTGGGCGGGCTGGCTGCATGTATCTTCTGTGATGCCTTCCTGACCACGAACATCTCCATTTGTTTCTACCACTTCTCCCGCCTTCTCCCTGTCTGGGGAATAGCACGGCTGTTCTTCCCGCTGCAAAATTGACGATAAATCTTGGTGGAAGAGAGGTAGGCTGAACACTACCCATAAGGACGACAGGAATGAGTAAAGTAATTGCATCACCGTGACAACACTCGGAGGAAAAGAGGCGAGATACAAAGCTCTGCAGGCACTTGAAAGTCAGAAACAAGAAACAAAGGACAAGCGGGATGGTTTGTATACTAGGAGGTTGCATGCTTGAGTGCGGCACAGCGGGCGCTTGCGTGCCGCGCTGATCGTCCGGGGTCCACAACAGCCTCAGTCTCGTCCTGTTAAAACCCACACAAACGCATGCGATGACTGTCGAATGCAGAGAAGATCGACATAAACGTTTCAGAGCGCAAGAATTGCCATCAACAGCTCGGAGCTGTGAGGGTACAGAAGACTCTTGACGATGATACAAAACGGCTCATTAGATCCTCGGTCTACGCGCAACAACATTAGGTAGATACATTCTAATGCAAGCTTGGACGAGAAAAACAGAACTTAGCAAGTGGTTACTCCTTCGATGTAAGAAAAAGTGGCAGTTCTTTAGGAATGGTCGAATCGAGCCGCGCTCGCGTATTCTCATCACATCCTTATGCCCTGTGCGAGTGCCGCGCGCATCCCGCAACCATGGATGGCGCTTCTCCTTCGACCTGCTGCGCCGCCTGTAGCGCCGAGTCATCCTCTCACCACACCTTCCCATGCAATCATACGTTGGTTCCACACGACATGTGTCATTCGTAGCCTAAGCGCCCGGACCGGTTTCCCCTCAACAAAACTGAACAGAAGTGCGCAACAACTCACTGAGCGCTCAGGGAATCGAAATAGGAAACCAGGTCCCTCTGTTTGCTGTGACGACAAGAGTGATCCTCTCTGCCAAACTTTTCGGAGCGTGGTATCCACAAGTCCTGGGATATAGACCATGTCTACACATTAGAAGCCACCAATATCAACAACAAAAGTCAATCGGCGTGTTGTAGTCTGTCCTTTTATCCATGGTCTTGAAATCCCAGTCAAGAGAATGCGAGTAGGGCGAGGAAGTCGTCCTATCCAGTGACGGGTCGTCCAAAGGTCAATCTACAAAGCCTCCACCGGAGTTCATCGCGGCGTTCGACATCTGAATGGCTTGCTCCCAAGGGTCGACTTCCCAGGACGCGGAACTTGGGCGGACAGATGTGTCAGAGCTGGCTCGCGAAGAAAGATCGCGAGATCTCGTGCTCCAGCGCCTTCAGGACTTTCTGCGCTTGCACACGGCCGCGACAACGCTTATATCGTCCAGTTTACCTGCGGTAGAGGTATTAGCCAGTTCCGACTCGAATCAGCGCTTTGGCTCAACTGACCTCCTTCAATGGACAGCCCCTCGTCGACGGCCTTTTCCATATAAGGGCTCTCGGCAAATGGGTCCTCGGCGATGGTGCGGGCAGCTTTCACCAGCTCTTGTGCAACGTACTGCATGCCGTCGGCAGGCGACTTTTCGTTCTTGTCATGCCCATCCCAGAACTCGGCCTCGCCATTCTCCCACTTGTGTATGCTGTCGACGACGTTTTCCAAGACTTCGTGCTCCCATAAGTTGTCAACGACGCCGTCCGACATGGCAAGAACCACGTCATCCTCCTCGATCTGCACACGGTCCATGACGGCGTTCTCGCGCGGCGTGTCCGGGCTGTTGGTACCGAGCTGGCGGGGGCAGTCGAACCAGTGCCACTGCTCGGCCGTCTTGTACACGATCTCGCGGTCGCGCGGGCGTAGCACGAGCACCTGCGAGTCGCCGAGCTGCGTCACGTACACGACGGGCTGGGAGTCGGAGTCGGAGCCGAGCAGGGCGCTGCAGGCGGTCGTGGTGCCGAACCACTCGGTGGGGCCCGACGTCGCCAGCTTGGTCTGCTCGAAGGCGCTGTGCAGGTACTCGACCGGGTTGGGCTCTTGGCCGCCGCCGTAGGCGTCCTTCTCGGCCTCCAGCGCCCAGAAGTGCAGGATGAGCCGCGACCACAGCCTGGGCGCATCACAGTTAGCTTCTCCCTGCGGAGGTCGTGAGCTCTGCTTACGCAGCATGGCCCCTCTCGCGCGTGGCCCAAGCTCCCACGCCGTCGTTGGCTCCGATGAAGTTGTCGCTGACCAGGACGGCGTCGTCGCCGTTCGTGATGCCGCGGATCATGTCGCCATTGACAAAGCTGCGGCGGTCGCGGCTGCGGTTGTGGGTGCTCAGCGGGTCGGAGAAGGAGCCGGACGGGTAGGACAGGAAGGGCGGCGGGAAAGGGCGCGACGGGCGCTTCGCATACAGCGCGTAGCCGGCCTCGAAGTAGAAGGCGGCCTTGGAGCGCGCGCGCACTGCAGCCGCCTCATCGGGCACCGGCGTCGTGGTACCCGACCCCGTCTTGGGCTCGCGCGCCGCCGTGTGGGCGCGGGCGCGGGCGCGGGGCGGCGGCCATGGCAGCGGAGCGGCGAAAGCGGCGGCGAAAGCGGCGGCGGACGGTGGTTTGCGGAGGAGCGGGCGGGTGTGCTGGGCGGCGCGGTAGGACAGTCTCCAGCTCCAGGTCGGCATCGCAGTGGTCTCGAGGTGTTGAGGCTTGGGCTGGGGGACGCGGCGCCTGCAATCCGTATGCGCGCCGGAGCGGGTGAGATTCCGTCACGCCTCCGGCTCCGCTCAACACTTCGCGATGCCCGGCCGCTCCCAGAACGCATTGGGGCGTGGGGCCAGGCCGCCACGTGGGGCTAGACCCTATGGGGAAGTCCGCATCAATGTGGTGCTGCATGTTGCCTGATCAGAGCGACGTCGGAGTGTCGGACCCAGGGTGCCAGGGGAGCCACGCACGGGGCCACAGGGCTGCCGTCCCCGCAACGGCCCGGCCGCTGGTCGCGCATGCTGGGTACACGGATCAAGAGCAGGCACCGCAGACCGACTGCCTCGATTGGGGACATCCTGGCTATCTAGGTATCTACTGCACTGCCCTTCTAGAATCCACGTCCTGATCTCGGCGTCGTTGGCCTGCGCACCGCGCCCTGCGTCGCAATTCTCCGCACCGCCGTCGTTGGCCGCCTGACTGCCGTCTTGGCCTGCTGCTCGTTGGCGACCCTCTGCGCCTCCCTTTCCTTATCCTCCGCCATCTTGGCCTCCAGCTCCGCCTTCTTGTTGAACTCAATCTCCGTGACGCGCTTGTCGCGAGCCGAGTAGCCCTTCTCCTTCACCGAGTAGAAAACGCCGCCAAGATCGGCAAGCCAGTGCGGGTCAACCGCAGTGACGTACGACATGTACTCCTTGGACGTCAAGATAAGCTCGTGATACACGACATAGTCGGGAAGGATGCCGAGTCCATGGAGCGCGCTCGTCGGATGAAGCTGCACAGTAACACTGGTCCGCAGGTTGATGTACTCCCCGATTCCCTTCACTTGCGCCGCTTGGTGGTAGTACCCCGAGCAGATGCACTTGCGAATGACATCCCAATCCGTCCCGCAGCTGGTCAGCGTCAGCTTTTGCTGCTTGATAATGTCTTCCAGCTGCTCCCGAATCTCCTTGGCTCGTCGCAACGCCTTGGGGTGCAGGAAGTGTTTGATGCACCAGCCGTCAGAGTGCCGGTTGGCCTTCCACTGCGTGTAGACGTGGAGAACAGTCAGGTGATCCGACTCGGGCACGCAGAACTTCTCGCGCGCCGCGTCCGCTTCCTCCAAGCGCTCCTTCGGGCGGTAGAAGACATTCGGGACCGACAGCATCGACACAATCGTGAGCATTTCCTCGCTGCAACCGTACTCGTGAGACGTGATGATCAGCTTTGCAAGTGGAGGGTCCATGGGAAAAGCCGTCATGGTCCTACCGAGCGACGTCAACTCGCCCAGGTTGTCGAGCGCTCCGAGCGCCCAAAGGTCGAAAAGTGAAGTCGAGATGGTTTCTTGTGGAGGTGGGTCCATGAAGTCGAAATCGAGGAGATCCTTGACGCCAAGCGACTTGAGCAGAAGGACGGTGTTCGCCAAATTCGTCCTCTGGATTTCTGGAATAGTCTGCATGTAGAACTCCTCTTTGAAGGCCCTCTCTGTGTAGAGGTGAAAACACTTTCCTGGGCCAGTTCTTCCGGCTCGACCCGCTCTCTGAGACGCGTTTGCCTGTGATATAGGAGTAATTTGAAGCGTATCCATACCCATGCGAGGATTGTAGACCTTCAACTTGGAAAACCCAGAATCGACGACGTACATGATTCCATCGACCGTCAAACTGGTCTCAGCAATGTTGGTGGCAACAATGACCTTTCGAACACCAGGGGCAGCTTTCTCGAAGATTTTCGCTTGCAAATCCGCTGGCATCTGACTGTAGATTGGCAGGATACTGAGTTTAGGAGGATCAACAAGCTGGTGCAATCTCTCATCAACAAGCTCACAGGTGCACTCGATATCTTCTTGGCCCGTCATAAATACCAGTATATCACCGGGACCTTGCGAGACGTGGATGGCTAGAACCTGCCGCACGGCACTGTCGACGTAGTCTTCGCAAGGCGAGCGGGAAAACTGAATGTCGACAGGGAATGTCCTACCAGGAATGAAAAACTCTGGGGCACCACCGTAGAATCGGGAGAAGCGCTCCGCGTTCATAGTGGCAGATGTGACAATCAGCTTCAGGTCCTTGCGCCGAGCGAGCACCTTCTTGATCAGGCCCATGAGGACGTCCGTGTTCAGGGCTCGCTCGTGGGCTTCATCCATGATGATGACAGAGTACTTGTCGAGATCGGGCTGAACCAGAGACTCTCGCAGCAATACACCATCAGTCATGTACTTGATTACGGTCTCATTGCTGGTGCAGTCCTCGAAACGGATAGCGTATCCAACAAGGCCACCGAGCTTGACTTCCATCTCTTCGCTGACACGCTTGGCCACACTCATCGCTGCCACACGTCTTGGCTGAGTGCATCCAATCATGCCAAAGCTTCCGTAACCATCTTCGTGAAGAAACTGCGTCAGCTGCGTCGTCTTACCGGACCCTGTTTGCCCCACAACAATGATGACTTGATTATCCCGGATTACCCGCAGGAGCTCCTCTCGTACGGCGAAAGCGGGGAGGTACTCTCGCTGCTCGCGGAGCGTCTTGCTTTTGCTGAAAGCACTCTGACCCTCGCTCTTCTTAAGATGCTCGGCAAACTGGCTGCCGCCCTTCTTCTCCGGTTCTTCCGGCTGGCCTGGAGCAGCTGGCGCCGCGCTGTCACCATCATCCTCTTTGACCCCCATGATGTTCCCCAGCGCAGTGCCCGCCATGTTGGTAGACTCCTTGGCCTGCTGTTGCCTCTCTCTCCGCTGTCTTCTCTCGCGCACGACCTTGCTTCCCTTGCGACTGAAGACGGCCATGTCACTTTGCGGATCCTTTACCGCCGACACGGGGTCCAGCTGCTTCGTGAAGACAGTCCGTCCGTCCAGGAAGGGCGGCTTGAGATCGTGAACCAACAAGTGGATGCGAGTCCCCTCGTCGTCATCTTCAAAATCGCCGCTAAAGTCGCGCCGCTGAGCCACTCCGGAGGTGAGCATCCGGTTCGTCTCCCAAGCATCTACGTCCTTCTGCTTTTGAACTTGACGCGCGTTCATGCGTTTGCTGGTCTTTTTTTCGGCCATTGCCGCTTCGCGCTGCTGATCCAGCCAGGCGCTGTCCTCTCCAAAGGGATTGTGCGTGTCGTCTCCAAGGCTATGGCCGCCGTACTCCTCACCGCCGTACCAGTCCCTATCCAATGCCATGACAGCTTCTTCATCAATTTGGGGTTCAGGCCCATCGAACTCCCGCTGGCGGGGGGTTGAGCCGGCATTGTGGTCTCGCGGGGTTTGCGCACGTGAAGAATCGTGGAATCGCGGTGTCTGGTGTGGCCGTGAGGAGCGATCGGTAGAGGGACATGGTTGATAGGAGTCGAGTCTGCGCCTCTTAGGGGCAATGTGGTAGTCATCCTCCATGTCGAATGAATCGTTGGGGAGCGGCGTTGTCGACGGAGCGGATGGACCTCACACGGTGGGCTGGCGTGAGGAGCTCGGGGGAGGTTGGGTGTCGCCGCCGCGGAGGTTTAGGCGGCAGAAGAGCTGCCAAGACTGCGGAAAAGAAATCGTCCGAGCGCGCCCGCTCGCAACTTTTTTGGAGGCCCAGTTTGCGACGGGCAAAAAAGTTGCCGTTGCGCTGCACGCTTCTTCCTCACGACGCTTTCGACATGTCCATGATCACGGCGACTACGTGGGTGCCGCGCGGCTTTGCGGCACCCTTCCCGCAAAAGTATCTCTTCGATGAGGACGAGTTCGAGCGCATTTCGCAGCTTGCTCGCCTGCAGCTGGACGACGCGAAAGACGACCTGGACGCAGCCAAGAATGGCGACAAGAGCGACGAGGACGAGTCGCCCAAGGCAAATGCTGCCGCCATTGCATCCGCCAAGGACGACATGTATGCTCACCTCGCAGTCCTCGTGAAAACCACCGCTAACATAGTATCTGAAGCGAAATCGACGACGACCTGAAAGAGTACGACCTTGACAACTACGATAACGACGAGGGCGCTGTGGATAAAGACGGCGAGCCTCTTGGAATCTTCGGCAACGTCAAGTCTCTGGTCTACCACGAGAACAACGACGACGATCCATACATCACTATGCCTGACAACGTTGACGATGACGTTGAAAGAGAGGATCTGCAAATCCTTGACACCGACAATCTTGTACTGGCAGCAAGGATAGAGGACGAGATGGCACATCTCGAGGTGTACGTGTACGAGGATGAGGCAGACAACCTTTACGTGCACCACGACATCATGCTGCCGGCGATCCCGCTCACGGTTGAGTGGTTGAACACGCCAGTCGGTAAAGGCCCAATCGAGGAAAACTCGAGGGGCAACTTCGTTGCTGTGGGTACCATGGATCCGGATATCGAGATTTGGGACCTCGACATCGTGGACTGCATGTACCCGAATGCCATCCTTGGCCAGGGTGCCGAAGACATGGCCAACGGCGAGAAACCCAAGAAAAAGAAGAAGAAGAAGTCCAAGAAGGCCAACGAAGACTACCACGTTGATGCCGTGCTTTCGCTGGCTGCCAATCGCACCCACCGCAACTTGCTTGCTTCATCATCCGCAGACAAGACGGTTAAGCTTTGGGATTTGAACACAACCAAGTGTGCCAAGTCGTACACTTACCACACAGATAAAGTTTGCTCCCTGGCGTGGCATCCGGCCGAGACGACTGTGCTCTTGAGCGGTAGCTATGACAGGACCGTCGTCGCGGCGGATATGCGGGCGCCGGACGCCAAGGTCCCAAGATGGGGCGTAGAAAGCGACGTTGAACAAGTCAGATGGGATCCCCATGATCCCAACTTTTTCTACGTGAGTCCTGCTGTCACAGATTTAGGAACTTTACTGATCGTCGTAGGTGTCGACCGAGAATGGCGTCATCCACTACCACGACGCTCGCCTTGCTCCCTCAGATCCGTCGCAGACGAAGCCAATCTGGACCCTTCAGGCACACGACGAGTCCATCTCGTCGTTCGACATTAACCCCGTGATCCCTGGCTTCATCGCCACTGGTTCGACAGACAAGGAAGTCAAGCTATGGAATGTCCAGCCTAGTGGACCAAGCATGGTTGTGTCGAGGAACCTCGGCGTCGGCAAAGTGTTCTCTACGTCATTTGCGCCCGACAAGGAAGTCGGTTTCAGACTGGCCGTGGCAGGCAGCAAAGGCTCCGTTCAGATTTGGGACACTTCCACCAACGCAGCAGTGCGGCGCGCTTTTGCCCATAGAGTGGCGCCAGTAGAGGGCGAAGTCAAGGAGAGGCTCGTTGGTGTTCAAGAGTCGGATAGCGAGTCTGAGAGCGATGAGGATGAGGAGGGCAAGGACAGCGATGCGGGGCCGGACGGCTGGGAATCGATGGATGAGGAGTAAAAGGCAGTAATGTCAAACCGAGGTGGCAATGACAAAGTACGTCAGCGCGGGGGATCGATTGTGGTGGCGACGATCGCAGCAGCGATCCAAAAGAAAAGGTTTCACGGTACCGTGACCGAGCATCGCGGCGTAAGCCGGCGTTCGATCCGTCATGTTGCCCCTGGGAAGAGGCCAGATCGGGAGCAAGCAAAGCATTTCGGAGCAAGGCAAGGCGATTCCCCACCCGGGAAAGCATGTCTCGCGAAGAGTTGACTCTGAGCGGCGGAATTTCTGGAGCCGGTGCGTTTCATCGGCGAAATATACCATTCAGGGGACTATAGGGAGCGGTTGGCTTTACGAGCGGTTTCAAGTGGGCGCATTAACGTTAGTAGACGCGGTCGCAGACGGCAAGGCTGATGAAAGGCCAAACCCCAGAATAGCTTCGGAAGACGGAGCTGTAGGAGAATCGATGTCGTTCTGAGCATGCGTTAGCTCGACGCCCGAGTGATGAGTTGTTGAGCTGCTACGTCGAAAGCGTGGCAGAACCGACCAAGATGCACCCGCCGGCCAGCGGGCTGCACGCCGGCTGACGAGTAATGAACGCTCGACCACGGAAGGAACCAAGCGCAATGCCATGCGAATTAGCGAGAGACCTTCGCGCTGGGTGATTTGATGTGATGATCGTGAGAACCGCACGACGTCGGTTCTGCAAGAGCCGTTTTGGGATGGCGGCCATGCAGTGCAGTGCTCGATTTAGCGGGCGCCAGGGCGTGCTGGACCTGCAGGAATTCGTGGTTGGCCGAGAATGGGCGGGACGAAGGGCGGCCGGCCGAAATGGGAAGCGCGCAACGAAAGGCTGCCCGCTGCGAGGCTGTGAGGCGACCAGGAAGTTGAGCCAGGCCGACGTCCCGCGGAAGGCGGGGCAGCAGGCACCGGGACGCAGTCAGGAGGCGCCGGGCTCGCAGCGGACAAATCCGAGCAGCAGCAGCACGGTCCGGCGTGCCGCAGTCACGCGGCAGGCTGCGATATTGGGGACGATATTATTATTGACGACTGCTCCGAGGTCCTGGGTGCTTTTGCTGTGAGCTGGCCCTGCAGGCCGGCGCCGGTCGCGGCCACAGGCACGGCACACGGCGCCACGAAGGGCCCGGCGAGCAGACCAGGGCGGTGGTGCGGTTGATTGCCAGGGCCCGGCCGCGCGCTGGTCCTTGCAGGCCCGTCGAGAGGGGGAGTTCGCCGCGTGCAAAGGTCTTTTTGCTAGCGTACCGCCCAACCCTGGGTTGGCGAGCGGCAGTTCTGGGCGGTGCCTGGGCCAGATCCCGCGGGCCAGGCGTCCTGCTGCCTCTGCAACGTCAACGGCGGACCGCAATGCCAACCAGCACGCGACGGCAGCGCCCTGCACGCCCGGCGCATCAGAAGGCTCACGGCCCACCCTCTAGCGCGGCGGCTGGCTGCCGAGCACCGCACGCATTGCCCACTCGAAGATCCTCCCCAACGGCTGCAGCGATCGCGGGAAGCCGTGCAAACAGATCCGCCGCCAGGTGCTGCAAAGCGGCCGCGGGCATGGCGGCGGAATAATGGAGGGTGGGAAGCGTGCGCGCTGCTGCTGCTGCGGCGCGCCCTCTCCGCCGTGGGCGCTTCATATAGTTGAGACGAGGACGTTTACACTGGGGCGCCCCGGGTTGTTTCGCATGCGTCGTTTCTCAGCCCAAAGCGGCGCTCCTCCGACGCTGCAGCAGGGGCCGCGTCCCTAGCCGGCCCAATTACGAGCACGCGTGCGCCGCGCGATCTCGCACGCTTGTGCCGCGCCCGCTGAATCATTGGCCGTTCTGCCTTGCCTTTTCACCTTCGGCCGCCCTGCCCGGCGCTTCTCGTGCCGCGAGCCTCCCTCCTCCCCCATATCTCTGCACCCTCCCTCCCGGCGCCAGCGCGCTTCTGTCCTTCTCGTCCACCCTCTGGCCGTGCTCTGTTGCTTCGCTCCTTAGACGACAGACACCCGCCCTCTCATTCTTTGCCTTCGCCGTTGCGACCTTCCTTTCCACTTCCACCTTTCCCTTGTTTCGCTGCGAGCCGGCGAAACGTACCACTGAAATCCACCGCGTCTCACCGCAGGACGATCGCGCGACGGAAAACCGCTTCGCCAGAAGCCCTGGAAAACCGACCATTTCCCAATCCGGAACGACTGCCACCGCACCTTCTGACCTTGCCGCGGTTGCACAGCTGACCCGCGCTACGCACTTGACTCCCCCCTCTGCCTTTTACCCAGAGCACGTCGCAGCTCGTGACAATCTTGACTGCAAGACTCGCATCACTAGCGTTCCGCACCTCTACCACGGCCCCGACTTCCGGCTTCTTCATATCCCCACCGTTGCTTTCACCCAAAGGACCCGCTGCCGCACTTCGACCGTTGTGTGACGCCAACCGTCAGACAGACTCACCACTCTCATCACCATGGCTGACTTCATCTCTCGGTCGCTCACCACTCGCCGGGCGAAGAAGCCCGAGAAGGTTTCGACTGGTCCTGCCCGCGCATTCAGCATGAAGAAGGCCTCCAACCCCGCCATCAACCGCGTCCAGATCTCTGGGCCGCTGAATCTCATTTCTACTACGAACATGCTGTCCTACAACGCTCCTGATATTGCTGGAACTCGCCAGGTCTCGTCCGAATCTCATTCTACTTCGCACTCCGAGGAATCGGACCGCAGCTCTACGTCGAGTGGCTCTCGCGGTGTCTCTACGGACGCATCCTCCCTGGAATCCCTTCCCACGTCGCCCGAGACCAACCACTTGACTGGATTCTTCGATTCCGCTCAGAAGGCTGCCCCCGAGAGGTCCCGCACGCCTCGATCTGCTTCCAACTCGGTTTCGCACTCGAAATCGTCGTCTCGCCCGAGTGTCGACCAGTCTTACAGGTCTCTAGAATCGAAGCGCTCCTTGGATTCGAAGAGATCTTTCGACGCCGGTCCCGCGAAGCGCACCCTGGAGACCAAGAGGTCAATCGACAGCATTCGAGCAGCTCAGGAAGCCAGCCGGAGGGCTCAAGAATCAATCCCCGATATCCCGCAGCGGGCGCGCTCGCACAGCAAGGAGGCGCACGAGGTTCTGGCGCGCAAGAGATCGATTCGCGGTATGGGTCCTCCCAGCAGCCTCCACGGCCGCAGCTCTTCACTTCAGGAGCAGCGTGCGTCCGTGGACATGTTCAGCAGCACAGCTGGCACCGAGTCGAACCACCCCTTTGGGCGCGAGCTGGAGCAACTGAACGAAGTCGCCGAAGAGCTTGGAGGCGTGATCCGCGATGTCGAGATGGACGAAGACGCAAGGTACATGGTAGAGCGCGGGCTGCAGAAATTCTGCGCTTCCGACTACCTCGCGGAAATCGCGCCGTTCATGACGGCAACATACGCCAGGCGACCGATGGCACCGACTCCGACGCTCAGCACCACCTGGATTTAGGAGCCCTACACGGACGTCCTAGCCCCGGGGATTGAAGGGGAAGCAAAACCGCCTCCGCAGTTCACGCACGTGCTTGATTGCAGGCCGACAGTGGACCCCGTCACGGAGTTTGGCTCACCAGGATGTTGAGACAACTCCCCTGCACATCGGATGCACACCCACTCTGTTCTTGTTGATATTCTTTAATTTCGTTCCCTACTTTCCTTTGATTTTCCATATACATACTTGAGACGCAACAGCGTTGCCAGGGGAAGGCTGACCGCACCACGGCGGCGGAGGATTGGCGACTATACCCCACCATTACTACCACCCACACTCATTTACGATCTTTTACGACCTCACAATTGACTTTGAAGTTAGCTGGAACGGCGGGAAGGCAACCGCAAGGGCAGCGGCAATAGCGCCGCCTGTCGCTTGGCAGGTGTAGATAGAGGCTTTTGAGCCGCACGAATGCAAGAAGAACGGTTGAAATTGAAACAAGGTGCAAAACATAGTAGCGGCTTGGCCCGGTGACGTTGGCGGGCACGCTGCGAGGCGGTCGGCATCGATCGCCATGCCGGGGCCGCGACAAACGGCCTGGGCCGTGCATCAGGTCATGGCAATGTTTTCAACTCCGTCGCTCCGCGAACCAAGTCACCGCGCCCCGAAGCCGCTGTCACCGAGAGCCACCTGTCGCACCCACCCGCCCGTGCCTCGCACCTCAACCCGACGCCAGTCGTTGCGCCCACCGTCGCCGCCCGCCGTGCAGAGCCTTCGCGTTGCGCCCAATCCACTCGACGCGTTGCGCTCCTGACGCCGTTGTGTTGTTCAACCCCCGCTACCCCTCCGCCGCCGCTGCGCCGTCAACGTCCAGCTGCCGCCCCTCGATCGCGCGCAACAAGCCCCCGTCTGCGACCGCGCCCGCGCCCGCAACCACCAGCGCCTTCCTGCCCTCCCATCCCTTTCGACTCAGCGCCGCCCGCAGCCGAGCCCCTCCCCACTAGAGAGTCGCCGCGCCCGCCGCGCACCGCTCCACGTCAACATCGGCCCGCGCCCTCGCTGCCAACAACAACCACCTCCACCGCTCCACCATGGATATGGGCATTGACATTACGCGCCGCAACAAGAAGCCGCGGCCCTTGTCCGAGGCAGAGAAGGACAAGCTGGACGAATTCGTCGAGAGCATCCACTATTCCGCAAGGTGCGCGCGTCTCCCCCCAGCCTGACGCGCCGGATGTCGCAGCCCGCCCGCGCACTTGCCAACCAAAGGCGCAGCCATATACTGACAGAGAGGCCATCCAGATACTCGGACAGCGAACACGAGTACCGTCATGTGCAGCTGCCCAAGCAAATGCTCAAGGTCATACCGAAGGAGTACTTTGACGGCTCCAGGGGAACACTGAAGCTGCTATGGGAGGAGGAATGGAGAGCGCTGGGAATCACTCAGGTAGGCCCGTTTCCTCTGTAACCCCACGCGACGCAGCATGTGCTAATGCATTGTCTTCCAGAGCCTGGGATGGGAGCATTACGAGGTCCACGAGCCGGAGCCTCACATACTTCTCTTCAAGTACGTTTCCCCGCAGGGCCGAGTCGCGGCCAATGGTTGTCAGGCGATGGAAATCGACAGCACAGATTGACAAGTGATGATGCAGGCGACCGATCAACTACCAGCCCCCGATGCATTGAGCGTACTTGGCTTCTCTCTCTACCGGATCGACACGAACCACGATTGCCGCATTTCCGGATTCGGACGGCGTGTCGATACCGGGGGCCCCACAGAGTAGAGCTTCTTTCACCGCCACTTGTTGATGACTTGCAAAGTTTCGGGGCAGCGGGCGAAATCAGGTGTCGGCCTAGGCGTCTTTCTCTCTTCACCCTCTCGTCGTTTCCTCTCCTTCGCTCTGCTCTGGCTTACATTGGTAACCTTTTCCGGCTCAAAGCGGGATGACTACTCTACCGTTTCTCCCGCGCTTGTAGAGGCATAGCATGCACGCTTGCTTATTCACGTCTCTCCAGACCCCGATCTTGCACTTGCTCCGGCGAGAGAGAAGAAAGAAGAGGAGAGCGATCTCTTCATGCACAAAGCGAAGACTCTAGCTCTACTTTTGGTCGCGCATTCGTTATCCTCTTATTTTTCTGTCTGGTTCGCACATCTCTGGGTAGTGGGTACCGGGTTCAGACGAAAACAAAGTAATGGGTGCCTTGGGGGCTTTGGGCTATTTGAGTCAGGAGTCGGTCGGATCCTTTTTCTGTTTACATTACTTCGCCTTTGTCGTTCTTGCGAGATCTTCTAGAGTGTGTAAATAACCCAGAAGAGAAACAGTCAAAAATGTGGGTGATGGTGCACAGATGAAGAGGTGAACAAATGCGCGCGGTTGGGCATAGAATGCGAGAGCAGTCATGCAAATTCTGGCAGTTGAATGTCGGTACAGACGACCTCTGGTATTTAGGTGGCGGAACGCCATGCACGCGACGGTCAAGATAGCATTGCTGCTGAGGACAGCCAGCCTGTGGTCCGAGATTCGATCCTGTTTTTTTTTCCTCCTCTCCCCAAGCCCCCCCGGTAGGTAGGAGACGGAAGCTGCCGGGATCCCTCCTTCCCCCCGGATTGCGCAATACCTAACGAACAGGGTCCGGCCCAGGCTAAGAGTGACAGGTTTAACAGGAACAGGAAAACACTACGGCGGGAGATCTACGACTCAGGCTTGCCCCCCAGCGGAAATCACACCCTTGTATGCCTATAAGAGGAAAAGTCACCCCCACGCTTTTTTCTTTCTCTCTGCTCGTGCTCACGTAGCCACGATGAGGCAACGTCGGTCGGTTCATGCGCTACTACTACCATTATTCAAACAAGTCTCTCTTCGAGCACGATCACCAAGGTTTTCCGGCTGTGCCGCGGGATGTTAGGATGTTTGAAGCTGGCTTGGATAGAGTCTGTGCGCATTCAGATTTGGCTGCACGTGTACAATGTATAAAAGGCAACTGGTTCACATATGCAAAACATGCTGTTGGGAAAAGAGGGTAGTAGGGTCTTTAAAAAACGTAAATGCCCATCAGGGCTGGGTATCATTCGTGAAATAGCCACCAAACGCAACATCCGTCTCAACCTCCCCCCCACCTTTCGCGTTTGATTAATTCCTTCACCAAGCCATTCGCACTCCTCACCACATCACGCCATCAACGCCGCAAACGCCATGCAAGCCGCCAACACCAAGCTCACCGCCGTGCCCATGCTCATCCTGATTTGCTGATGACTCGCCGCGCTGCTCGGCTCGGCGGCGCTTCCACCACTCACTCCTCCTCCTCCTCCTCCTCCTCCTCCTCCTCCTCCGCCGCCGCCGGCGGTAGCAACCGCAGCCAAGCTCGCGCAGTCCGTCACGTTCTCGCTCCCCGCGCCCAAGATGCGGCCCAGCGTGGCCATGGCGTTGAGATTGCGCGAGCGGAACCAGCGCGCGGCGGCGGCGACCTCTGTCGCGCAGAACTCGGCCGAGAAGCCAAAGGCCGTGGCGGGCGCTTGCCCTCCGCCGCTGCCGCACGCGCCAGCCACGCGCGTGCCGTCGCGCGCCGCGTAGAAGCCGAAGGTCCCGTTGGGCGGGCCGTACGGGACTGACTCGGACGTCAGGCTGACGTTGGTGGCGTCGTCGTCGTCTCGGTCCAGCGGCTGGTACAGGTGGGCGATGCTGTGGATTTCGACAAGCTGGGCGGACGAGCCGGACGAGCCGGACGAGCCGGACGAGCCGGAGGAGGAGGAGGAGGAATAGTCGAGCAGCGTCTCGACGAGCTTGGCGCCGTCGGGGAGGGTGTAGGAACGCGCGGTGCCGGGTTCGTTGTCTGTGCCGTTGAGTACGACGGTGGATGTGGTCGGGTCGATCAGGCCGGTCCAGGCGACGTTGCCGAAGGAGGAGATGAGCGGTAGGATGGCGGTCAGGTTGTATGGCAGCGTGTATGTGGTGTGGAGGGTGCCTGCGGTATAGCCGGATATGCAGGGATTGCTGGGGGGCAGTATGGTGGGTGTGGCGATGGGCGGATAGGCAGTTCCCGCAGACGCGCAGTCGGAAGCGCGGAGGGGCGCTTGGTTGCCGCTCATGGTGTGGATGTGTCCGGCGCAGAAATACGAAGGTCCGGCTGGGATGGTCGCGGATGCAGCAGCTGGGGAAAAGCGGTATGCTGGTTTTAAGTGCGGTAGTGATAGGCGCAAAGCAAGGGGGACGGGTGGTATAAGACACGCAGCTGGTGGCACGTTGGGAGAGAAATGGGTGGAAGTCGGAATGTGGCAGAGTCAAGCAGAAGGAGGGGAGTTGCGGCGGGAAAAAGGCACGGGCTGGGGTTGGCTTGATGTAGGCTTGATGTAGCAGCGGCTGCACGGTGCCTGACAAGGCCTGACACTGAGGGGGATCGGCAGCCTCCATCTGCGGGGGGCCCGGCATCCGGTCCGCCTGCCGCATGCGTCATGGCCGCGGCTTCCCGGCCTCTGGCTGCCAGCGTGTCGCCTGGAGCCCGCCATCGTGCTCGCCGTCACGCCGTCACGCCGTCACACCGTCGTCGGCGCCGAGGCAGCGTCAGCGTGCGCTCGATTGCGTGTCGGGTGGCCCGGCGGATGCTGGCTGGGGATCCGCATTGGCTCTCATCTCGACTGCGGCCGATCCCCTGCCTTCTTCTTTTTCTGCTGCACGCTGTGCGATCCGCACCGTCGAACGCTCCAGCTCCACCGCCAGTGTCAACCATCGCTAGCTGTCATGCCAGCTGCCAGCTGCGGCCACGACGATCCGTCGACTGGACCCTGATGACGTTGGGCCCACTCCTCCGCATGGTCAACGTCATGATGAACGTCCATCCACCGTGCATCCATGCTTTCCCTCGCCCCGAAGTCCACATCTACCCGACATGCACGCCAAAAGCTTGAGATCTGCTGCAACCGATCTGCGCCGTAAACAATGCTCCGCCTTTTTGCCCGCTCTGCGCCGGCCGTCAGAAACGCTTTCTCGGCCCGCGCCAGCTACACCATCGTCAACCAACGCAACATGGCTGCCGCAAGCTTTGACCGCTCCAAGCTGTTCGATGTGTCTCACGTCACGGCCGTTGTCACCGGCGGCGCCACTGGCATTGGCCTGATGATCACCCAGGCCCTGGCGACCAACGGAGCCAAAGTCTACATCGTCGGAAGGAGACAGGAGGTCCTGGAGAAGACGGTTGAAACCTATGACTCGGGCTCGGGTCAAATCATTGCGTGCGTACTCTTACCATTCCAATTACCGGCTGGCGAATTGACTTTTGTGTAGCCTACCTGGCGATGTGAGCTCCAAATCCGAAGTCCAGCGGCTAGCATCAGAAGTGTCCAAGAAGGAGCCCAACGGCATCCAGCTGCTCGTCAACAACGCCGGCGTCGCCCGCGACGACCCCACCAAGCTTTCCGGCCGGGGGCAGCCCCTGGACTTTGCCGACCCCGTCGCCGTCTCCGAGCACTTTCTCGCATCGCAACCCGAGTCCTGGGACGAAACCTTCCGTATTAATGCGGCGTCCATCTACTTCGCCTCCATGGCCTTCCTTCCGCTGCTCGCCAAGGGCGGCAAAGCGGTTCCCGATTACTCGTCCAGCGTCGTCAACGTGAGCAGCATTTCCGGCTGCATGAAGGGCAGCAGCGGCGGTCAGTTTGCCTATGCCGCCAGCAAGGCCGCCGCCACCCACGTCAGCCGCATGCTCGCTACGACTTTTGTGAAGACCGGAGTTAGAGTGAACACGATCGCGCCAGGCATGTTCCCAAGCGAGGTGAGTAGCTTCCTTCCTTTTCGGCCTTGTGATCAGGCTCAAAAAGGCACCAAAAAGCAACTTCTAACATGACTGTCCGGTTTTGAGATGACGACCGGAGCCTCGGACGAAAAGAACAAGTCCAAGCTGACGACACAAGCCTCAAATCCCTCCGGTGTGTATCGCACTCAAACAGAAGTGCGGGATGGCAGTGGTGCTAACGCTTACAACTCGAATTTGCAGGCCGCTACGGAAACGATTCCGACATGGCTGCAACTATTCTCTTCCTCGCTGGTCACGGAGGTACCTTCTACAACGAGCAAATTGTGTATCCAGATGGAGGTGCGTAGACTTCCCCAAAGTTTTGGGTGTCGCATGATCTAACAAATCATTTCAGGCAACACTCTCGTGCAGCCTTCGACCAACTAATGTGATGTTCGAGCCCATGATGAGTAATTTGTTTTGTGGAACGGAATAAAACTAATGATCTAATTCAATTGGACCGGATTACCGCCCTATTGTGGCGCCAAATGTTGCATGCCGATTGGCGAACCTTTCTCATCACCTCACACGAGAGAAGTAGATTGTGTTGATAGAAATGGGATATACAAGGACCGCTCTTCTGGAATGAATGTACGACGGATGGTTTTCAACTATGGCAGACTTTGATCTTCGTTTTCCGCAAGTATAGTATACGGCACTACGCTGCCATGTTTTTGTTCATATGCGGCTCATAATCTCGAATCCCATTCGCGAGATAATTATTGATATCCTTCCTGCCGTAATCGAACTCACAACGAAGGAACCATTTTCCAGGTCCCCCTTTCTCCTGCTCAAGCCTCTTGTTGCAGTCCAAAGATGACTGCACGATCTTCAGGTAGTGCTGCCTCCAGGACCAAGATTTCGATACTGGCCAGTGCAGGTGCCCCTTTCCCCCTCAGTACCGCCTCCTCGTCCAAGTCCCCGAATTGCCCTTGGGCCAATGCGCAGTGAGACTTTCGCAACCCCCGCTCGACCCCACTGTAAAATTCCCCTCGGAGCTCCTTTCCGTGTGGGTCTAAACTGCACGGAAGCAGAGGAGAGGGATGAATAGCTCGCCAAAGGCGCCGTATCCGATTGCCAATACCAGATAATCTCCAGCCGAGGAAAAGGAGCAATGCAGTAGCATCTCCAGGGATTCCGAAAGAGGGGTGCCTCAAGAGCACAGCGCTTCCGATGAGCAGCAGGTTGTTGCGTGAGGAAATATGGCCTTGGGGTTCCGCTGAGGCACTCTCATGACTCGGCCTAAGAATAACATTCCGAAGTATTATCCGTGATCTCCCGCTGGCTCGGGCTCACAGTTCGTCGAACACGTGCAATCTTTCATCATCCGAGGCGGCGTCCGACGTTGGAGGCTGTGTCGTGGTAGCACTCTGGGAAGAACTGTGCACTTCCTCGAGGATCTCCCGCACGGGCGGCGGCACAACCACATTCTCCAAGTCGATGGAAAAGTTGTGCTTGGTGGTACCGTTGGTCGCTGCCCTCGAGGCAGCAGTCCCTTGAGTGCGGATGCCGTAGACGATGTAGCCGACGAGGAACAGGGCAACCAGCGCGGCCAAAACGCTCCAGAAGATGCGCAGACGGCCTGCTCAGCGAATTGATCAGCAACGGCTCGGATAAAGAAGAGGGGGGAAAAAAAAGAGAAATACGTACGATTCACGCTCGCCCTCCACTCCTCGTCCAGCTTCTCCCGCTCGTCGACCCTCTTCCGCGCTGCATCGAGGCGCTCGTTCAGGCGGGCGGCCTTCTCCTTTCCCGCGACGATGCGTGCCTCGAACTCCTCCAGCAGGCGGGCCTGAGCATCGAAATCGCCGATGGCGTCGAGCGAGCCGTCAACCTCGTCGACCAGGTCGTCGGCGTCGGCGGCGAACTCGGCGCGCAGCCGCTGGGTCATGGTCGACAGCTCCTGCAGGCCACCGATGGTGCCGTGCAGGCCCGCCACCTTCTCCAGTATCGAGTAGTACGTGTCGTCGAGCCGCCGCGTGGTCGCCATGGATTGCTCGTCGAGGACGCGCAGCGCATTGCGCAGTTGGCTGAGAAGCGGTCAGTCGTGCGGAGAGGAAAAGGTTTGAGACACGTGTCTGAGAAGAGGGAGCGCAACGGGCGTTGTGCACGCGCAGAAAGTGTGAGACAGCAGGATCAATGAAAACGCACCCTTCGCGCTGCTTCTGGCGCGCGCGCTCGCGGGCGACATCCTCGGGCTTGACGACACGCGACGACAGGTGGCGAGCGTTGCGGTCGTAGTCGGAGATGACGGACGGGCTGACGAGGTCTTTGGAGTCGTTGGCGCTGCTGGCGCTGCCGGTGGGGTTGGATCTGGTGTCGGCGCTGTTCGCAGACCTCACGACGTTGATGTCCGGGAACTGGGAGCGCGGGGCGGGCAGCACGGCGGACTTGATCTCCTTGTCGTCGGCGCCATACTTGGCAGAGCGGCTGCCGTGACGGTGGTGGTGGTGGCTATGGTGCTTGTGGCCATGCAGCGACAGGTGCGAGCGTTTGAGGGTCGAGTCGCGGTCGGGCTTAGCGGCGAGGGTGGAGCTGCGGCCGGTCTGGGCTAGCTTCGCGATGGTGTTGCTGTCGGAGCGGTGCATGATTGCTGGGCGAAGGGCGACATGTTTGGGGTCGTCCGGTCGTCCCCTGGCGGTTGGCGGCGGGCAGTTGGTTCCATGACGGCGGAGAAGCGAGGGACGTCATCGGCTCCGCGCGCTCGCCCCGCCAAGAGCTTGCGCCTGAGGCACCATGTATGGTCTGGACTTCATCACTCATCCCTGCATGCACCGGATGTGGAAAAGCAAAGATATCTATCTACACCCTCATCTCTCAAACCGTTCCGGCCCGCTGATGCTGGTCTCGGTCATGGGCCCCGTGGCCGTGGCATGTGTCCACGTCAGCGCATCGCCCTTGCTCATTCCCGTTGCCTGCCTGCCACCACTCTGCCCATTCCGGCCGATGTCCTCGGTGCTTTCGCGCGCCACTTCAATCGTAACGTCGGCGCGGATATCCCCAGGGTTCAGCGCCAACTCGGAGCTCGCCGGACTGCCGCTGCGCATCGTCCCGACGCTCTTGATGCCCAGCTCCACGTCGCCTTTGGCGAACGCGTCTGCCGAATTCGCTTTTGGAAACGTGTGTAAGTGGCTGGAGAGTTTGAGGTCGCGGAGCGTTGTGCGGTGGGGCTGAGAGCCGGGCCTGCTGCGGAGCCGTGTCCCATCCCCATAGTATGCAGACGGCCGTCGTTCCGCCGCGTAGTTCTTGCCCGTCGAGAGCTTCCGCAAGCACGGGAACCACTCGCGGAGGAGAGGCCAGATCATGGGCAGGTTGGCCACGTACACGGCAACTGATGCTTCGCGTGTGTACCACAGCATGTACGACGTGTCGTAGACGTCCGAAAGGTTGTATACCTTTGTGAGAATTGCCGCAAGGATCTGAGTGAGGGCGCCGGTCAGCACGCTCGGAAATAGCAGTCAGATGGAATCCACGTACGACAAATATGCCCATGCTGAAGACGACCCCGAGAATCAGCCTTTGCCGGAGCGGCATGTTTAGCTTGGTGATCATGGGAATCGGGATGATCAGAATGCCGACGTCGCTGGACAGGTTGAAGCAAGCCTGGACAATCGCGTAATACTGCAGTGTGGCGCACTGAGGGCTAGGAGGCGGCATTGCCCAATACCCGCTGAAGGGCCTGCAAGCCGTGAAGAAGGTGACCTCTGTAGCCACCCATCCAATCCCCACGTAGATGAAGAGGAACTTGACGAGCCGGTACTGGGCGACCCCTGTTGTCAGGCGGCCGTACATGATCAAGAGACATATCTTGAGCGTGTAGATGACATTGAGCATGCCCTGAATTGGTCAGTTTGCTGCCCATTTGCTTGCGAGCTGGAAGCGAGTCTGACCTGCTCCGACACGACCACCACTTTTGAACCCGCAATTCGGTTTTCAATGTCTTCTTTGGTGAAAAAGGCGTAGTCCTCGGGGAGAAACAGGTTGCTTCCACCGCCTCCAGCAATGACGTTCAAGCAGACGACCAGTACAGTATACCATGCCTGTAGTCAAGTAAGTGAGACATGCAACGACTCGTGGTGTGCATCTGTGCGCTTACCGCCGCCAGGAGCATGAGGTAGTCATCCGCTGCCAACTCCCTAAACCCCACCCGGTGCACCCGTGCAAATCTGTGGAGAGCATTAGACGAATTCCTTCTTCTCGGCGACCGGATGGTGGCACATACATTCTGAAAAAGATTATGAATATCCCAACGCCATAGAGAGCCCACGATTGACTGGCAAGCCGCCGCTGGAACCCCTCATCGAACACAGCCATCACGAAAACGGAAGGGACTTATGGGAGGCGAGGCGAGCAGTCAATAGCGATCAGCCTTCAGAGGGCGCATGCCCGGGAGTTCGTTACGTAAAAGTCAGGCGGCTGTGGACTTCAGTGCGCAATGTATTGTTATGACGGAAGCAAGTGCGAATAGATCAAGGGATGGATCGATGTCGGCGAGGTCGGCTTTGTCGAAAGAGAGGATTCGGGGAGAAGTCCGTTCGCAACACTGTGAGAAGATGCTCGGTGTTGATTTCACGCAGTCGCAAGACGTGGGGGGGGGGGGGGGGGGGAGAGTAGGGAGAGACGATGCTTGTAACTTTTCTCTGGGCCGGCACCAAGGGAACAGGCCGAGCGGCGCCATTAGATGGGTCGCGGGGGACATACCGGGGCCGGGGAGATGATGTCTAGGCTGTAAGCAGCCGGTCCCTGCTACCACGTCCGTGGAGCCGGCCCCTGGCCCCTGCGGGTGAACTCGCGCGCATTTCTTGCCTTGCTTACGGCAGACCATTCAGAGCTTCCCCAGCACACAGTGCTTCAAGTGAGCAAAGGCGGCACCGGCAAGGCGATCCCGTCCGCTAACAAGCTGGGAGAAGCGTGCACAGTGTGTCCAGAGCGGTAGCTGGCAGGATGAGGGAGCGCAAGTGTTCGCGCAAGACGCATGGAGGGCAGATTGGCTGTCTCAGTTGCGGGCATGGCGGGGGCTTGGGAGTGGACTGGGGTCGCAATACCAGCAGAGAGCTAGGCTTGAGAAGGCGGGTGCGCCGTCGACGAGGACGGCTCCATCCGGGTAAGGATGACGAGGCTGATGCCACTGGCCGCCGGTGGGGGTTGGTTGTGCCGGAGCTAGCCACGGTGGCCGAGCGGGCAACGTTGTCGACGGGACGCCGGCGGAGCTTACAATGGCTTAATTGGAATTTTGAATGAAGGTCGACATGCTCTTTGCCTGGATGCGTGTGATCCTCGCCTTCATACGGCAAGGGTGGGGGCAAGATCTTCAGGTCAGACTCATGCAATCCACCACGTGGGTAGGATTCCCACACGCATCGGGGATGCCGATTGAGGGAAAGACCATAATGCCGAGCAGCACCTGGAAAGGCTAGGCGAACGGGCTCATTGGCTTCTCGACATCGGCACCCGCGGCGAATTGTGGCTGAGGCCTGCTTGGCTGCAAGAAGAGGGAGATGTTCGGACGAGGTAGAGATAAGAAGCGAAGGCACGGTCCCGTCAGCTTCAATGGTCGAGATAAGACTAAGCCACGCTGGGTATGACGGCCAGGGGAGCAGCAAACGGCGAGCATACGAGGCCGGCGGGCGGCGACGGGCGTTGTGCGGCAGTGCCAGCCGGTTCCCTAGCGTAGGGGCCAGATGGGATGGATGGAGGCGGGATGGTTCCGGCGTTGGCGTTGGCGTTGGCGCTGGCGTGGTGTTGGCATTGGAGGAGACGGAGGCGGGCAGGCGTTGCGTCGTCGCTAGGTAGCCGGATGGCCCGTGGTTAGCGTCTCAAATCACAGGGCCAGACAACACCACACTCTATACTGCTCTCATTCGACGACGCTGGGCCGCGGATAAAGTCGTGCGGCATCTTGGCCAGCCTTGTCTCTCTCGGCGTCTTTGATTCTCATCCCATCTCGCCTGCCCCGGCTTGATCACTCCAGCCATCCGGAGCAAACGCCCAAAAGAGCGTGCGCGTATGCGTTGACTCTCGCTTACGATGCCATTGCAACCGGTCGGTGAGGTAATGGAGCCTTGACCCTGGAGCTGTCTGTTGAGGTCTGGGTCGACGCTTCAAGCGCCCGCCCTCTCTGTTACCACACTTTGCGGACCATCCTCGCACACTACCTCGTCCCTGCACGGACCGTCCAAGCAGATATCCGGAGCCTTGGTCGCAGGCTCCCACCCATACAGGATCAGACAGCACAAACTTTAGGTGCAACAACTCCGGTAAGACAGGTAGTGGGATTATGAAATTCTTTTCCAACCCAACATGGGTCACCCGGCCCGATAATCAGACCACAGAATACTTGGTCAAACGCCTGGCCCTTGGGTGTCTCTCCGCTACCGCCCTCCGCGTTGTGTCTTTGGACGAGCTTCGCGTTGCAAGGCTGTTTGTCGGGACTGATCAGAGCCGGGATGGCGTGTTCATCTGTAACGCCAGTCAGACAGGGGCCGCCAAGCAGAGCCCAGCTGGCTGGGTCCCAGATGCAGCAATCTGGCGATCCCCCAGCCTATGAACAACAGCAACGCCCCGTCGTACTCACCCGCTCTCCTGATTTGCCGAGTCTTCTTCCTCTTGTCGCTTCCGCTTCCGCGCCCACCAGGCCGTGTAGTTGGCGCGATCTTGATCCGTCGGGGCCCGCTCCTCACCTCTATCGACCCGCCTCTGGTACCTAGGACGTCGACACGTCAGCGTCACAACAGCTCTCCGTTTCGCCGTAAGTGCACTCACTCGCGCGCCACCTCGTAAGCGGCCCTGGCCTGCGACGACAGCATCGGCTGCGCGGTTGTGGTAGTGGCTTTGCCCGGCGCTTCCGGGCTCGCGTTGGCGCAGTCGACGTCCGCGGCGACGCTGCTGGAAGGAGTCAGGACGACGGAGCCGTCGCCGCTGGATTCGGTATCCTTGTTACCCTCTTCTTCGCCTATCGACTGGGCATGGCTGCTATCTTCACATGAAGCGACACCGCCGCCTTTCGGGTGGTCGACGACTACCTTGGTCGTGCCAACGGGTGGGCTGCTGCCGGGTGTTGGAGGCGGGGGGACGATTTGGTTGAGAAAGCCCCGTGGCTTGGTGGGCTGATGCGAATTGCTGCTGCGAAGCTGTGGTGGCGCGTTCCCGTCCGGCGACTCTGCGCAAACAGCATCGTTGATCTTGATGCCGGAACGCCTCAAATACAGAGGTACAGTTATGCGTTTCTTGCCACCGTCGGCCTTGTCGTCTGCGTCCATTGCTAATGTTGAGTTGAAACAGCGGTAATGAGAGTGGTGGAATAGTAAAATAGAGGATCCGTATTGTGCCTGAAGACGAGTATTAATGATTTTGAGTGGGTTCGCGCGAAGGCGCTGTTTGTGAGTTCAAGATGACCTGTCACTCGTCCCTTCCATTCACGGCTGCCTTCACCCTCACGCAACCTACCGCGTCAGCCGAGCTTGCTATAACCACCATCGGTATTCCACCCATCTGCCACCCCCTTGTCTCTTTTGATTGCATCTAATACAACCACTCAGTGCCCGGCAAAAAATCCATGGAGAATGTGAGCGACGTCCATGCAGCCGGAAACCACTGTATCCAGAGTCTAGCCCTGGGGAAGCTGTCCTGTGGGCACTCTATGTTTTGCTGTTACCACACAAGCCGTCCAAACAAGCTTTCCCATCGTCACCGCTAGCTCAGTTGGTAGGTCCAGCACGCACACTTGCACCCACTCTCCGCCTCACGCTTCGCGTCGTTTCTCTGCTTTTAGTACTCGGACTTTGGCCTCACCTTGACCGACCCTCTAGTGTGTGCAGAAGGGAGGCATATGACTAGGGCTCCGAACATGCCAGGAGCCTTCTCGGTGTCACTGTGTGCCTTGAACACGGGCTTCGACAGTGGCGTGTTGGCAACGCGAAGCTCTCTGGAAACTCTCCCAATCAGTTCACTCAAGACTTGGGTCCAAGCCGGGTTTTGAATTTGGAACTGATCGGGCTTGGGCTCCCAAGGATTCCTGTCAGAAGTGTCGACAATGGTTTCGTTGCCCTGGCCAGAGGGGGCATGATGGCAGACTTGGACGAGGCTCCGAGCATTCTGTTCACCCAAAGGTAGCTTGACATGCCCAACCCTGTCAACGTGGATTAGGTCATACTACAGTATAGCTCTCGGGGCAGTCGGTACCAAACAACGGAGTCAAGATGAAAACAGTTGCTTGACATGAGCAGGGACCCAGCATCATCTCGAGGAAAAATTCCCGAAACCAATGGGACTTTCAACCTTGGATGTCTATACACTAGCAAAAGTTTGACTTGGTTACCTTGGTATGAGGTGTGCTAAAGTGACTTGTTAATCTTTTTTTTAGAGGTGGTGCCGTGAAGGCAGGTTTTATTCGCACCGACAAATCTTCAAGATAAGCGCGGTTCGTTCGTAGACAATACCTGCCTAGTATCAATACCTCTACGAAACTGAGAGAATCCGTGCATCAGCCTTGCGCGGCCCGCTTGAAGATGTTGAGATTTGTACTTCCTGTAGGTCTCGCTCTTTTTGACGGGCCAAGGCCAGTTCTCAGATCCATGTCCAGGTCATCTCAAATTCCTTCTCCATCATCCCTAGCCCACAGTTTCACCGTCCTGTCGTGTCCGGAGCTGCAAATCCACCTCGCATCATGACTGACATCGGTGCTAAGCACGTTTCCCGAGTGGCCGCTCAACGTCTTGCATAGTGCCCAGTCGTCTGCGCTGAAGATCCTGACATTCTTGTCGAATCCGCAGGAAACGAAGAAAGTTCCCGCTTTCTTTGGCTGCATGTTGCCACCTTCGTCCTTGACCGGCGTGTATCCGTTTGCGGGTCCGTCAATTCCCTTGAACCAACGAAGGTCCGTCACTCCGCCTCTGTGAGCACCAATATTGCCCATCTCGCGAACAGCGCGCACATCCCAGCACTTTGCAAATCCATCCCCAGACCCGGAAAGCACACGGTACCCATCCGCACTCCAATCCAGACCGTAGATTGGGCTGATGTGGCTGTCTAGAAGCATGACCATGCGGCCTGTACGGAGATCCCAAATTCTGCCAATACTGTCGAGCCCAGCACTGGCTATCAGCGACCCGTCGCCATTGAAACTGACCGTGTAGACTTCACGCGAATGTCCTTCCTGGAGGAGCAACTCGGTCGTCGTGTTCACATCCCATAGACGCCACGTTGTGTCGAAGGAGGCGGATGCCAGATACTTGCCTGAAGGGTGGAACTCCACGCGGCAAACACGTCCGGTGTGACCAGAAAGAGAGGAGATCGGGGTATCTTCTTCGAGTGACCACAGGTGAATCTGGCCTTCGCCGCCACCGGAAGCCAGGTTAAGAGTTGAGCGGGAGACATTGCTGTCTGGTAACGTAGCACCAGGATACCATGCCAATCCGCCTATCCTGTCCGTGTGCCCTCGAAGCACTCCCTTCTCTTCAAGGTTTGGCACGTCGAGCAGTTTGATGCTGCCGCCCCAGTTGCCCGCCACAATCATCTCTCCGCTGGGCGAGAACCGCGCCATACTGACGGGCCTGTCTCCAGCAATTTGCGATCCAAACAAGTCGAAGCCCTGTAGGCGCTCCTTGACGGCTTTGCGATGCTTGACATGGGTCCGTAGAGGTATCGTGGATTCCATCTTCTGGTACGCAATGCGCGTTTGTGCTCTTGGCAGAGAATACCTGGCGATGTCCCTCCGTGCTTCCAGCAGCTCCTCCAGGCCTTCCGTGTAGAATTCCTCGTTTCCCTCATCTTCATCCTCAGCCTCGACTGACTGGTCCCTCATCTGCGCGTCGCCCTCCGCATCATGCTGGCCTGATTCAATCTGCTGGGTGAGCAGTTCTCGCAGACGGTCTCTCCTGTCCCCCGGGCCCTCCCCGAAAAGGGTAATGGGCTCTCCAATCTCTCGTAACCGTAGGCGGACCTTGTTGTCATCGGTGGGAACGGCAATGGTTGCGGCAAGACGCTTGCGCTCGAATTGAGCGAGGATAGCCGACGCTTTCTCCGAGGGAACTCCAGCCGCTCCGGAGGGAAGGGAATAGTCGCGATCGAGGGCTGGAGCAAAATGTGAGCTTACGTTCACCTTCGGAGGAGAAGCTGGTGGGTGACGTACGAACGTTGGCAAGGTCGATGCCGCCCATATCAACATCCTGTCCAGAGGCATGAAAATCAGCGCCGTGTCCATGCTTGTTGCCGCGAGGGCATTATTGCGACGCTGCACTCGAATCGCGCCCTCTATTTCGCAAATTCGTAAACACCGATAGATCGCAAGGTGAGGTAGATTGGAACAGGCTTACCTCTTGCGGCTCCTCCTCCACATATGCTTGCCGCGAAGGGTGCATCATCTTGCTGCTGGTTGCTGAGGCACGGCCTCAGAAACGGTGGTCCGGAGGTGTGTTGAAAGAAAGCGAGGGCGGCGGCGTGGCGGCGAGGCGGCGAGGCGGCGAGGATTGGAGTCGTGAAGCAGCGCGCCAGCAGCAAAAGTCCATGCCGCACGCGATTGCGAGGCAACGTCAACTGCGTGACTGGCCTGCCACGCTTGCCCTAGTATGCACGGCCCCGCCTCCGCCGTCCGCCCCGCCGCTGCCAAGGCGCCATCTAGTTGCCCGCGCGCGCATTGACGAAATCGAAGCTTACAGGTCGCCATGAAAGCTTTACACCGTCACATTTCCACACAGCCCTCACAAAACCACAACCGCTTCGCCTCTCCTGACCTCGCCTCCGCTTCTTGCTCTGTAATGCTCACTGCTTAAGCTCGTCCAAGGTCGCCCATGCGTGCGGCCGTTCGCTTTCTTATCTCCTTCCTCGTCCTCATAATTGCGATTGCGATGAGCTTCGCTGGTCCCCGCCTTGTCCTGCAGACCAAGCTCTCTCAAGCTGCCGGAGCCGGCTTAACGGCCTGCACGCGCTCGCCGCTATGCAATGCTAGCCTCGCGAGGGCTCCGCGTCTATCCTACTGGCTTGCCTCGACCGCGTCCGCATCCCGCTCCTACAGCGCGACGGCCCGCAACGGCTCACAGATGCCCAAATTCACATACCAAATATCCGCATCATACTCTGCAAAGGGCCACCAGTTCAACCCCGAGTACAACCTTTTCAACCACAATCCTTTCGTCAGGTTGACGAAGAAGGGCGGACACAAGCGACCAGCCAGTGGACAAGACTCGTTTTTCGTGAACCAGATCGGCGATACCGGCGCGGTCGCTTTCGGAGTCGCGGATGGAGTTGGCGGCTGGACTGAGTCCGGCATAGACCCGGCGGACTATGCTCACGGTCTTTGCGACTACATGGCGGTAGCTGCCAATGGCTACCCAGAGGGCTTTGCAAAAGGCCCTCTGCATCCCAAGGATCTCCTTCAAATTGGTCATGATAATGTAACTAGTGACGACTCCATCATCGGTGGAGGAAGCACTGCGTGCATTGCAGCAGCAGAGCCCAACGGCTCCGTCGAGGTTGCCAAGTGAGTATTCCAGCTGAGCAGCCAAAGGACAAGCTAATACTTTGACAGTCTGGGCGATTCGGGCTTCATCCATCTCGGCCTCAATGCCGTGCGCTACTTTTCCCCGCCGCAAACGCATGCTTTCAACACCCCGTACCAGATGTCCAAAATCCCCGCGCAGATGCTCGCCCAGATGAAGCTCTTTGGAGGTTCCGCTGCGCACGCCGAGACACCCAAGGACTCAGCGGTCACAAACCACAAAGTGAAACATGGAGACGTCCTTGTGTTCGCAACTGATGGTGTCTGGGACAATCTGAGCCCGCAGGATGTGCTCACTATCGTGGGCAAGAACATGACTGCACTTGGCGGCTGGATCGATGCCAGAGAAGAGTTCGTTGTAAGCCCTCATCTGCGCAACCTCACCGAGAGGGGTGGCATGAGCAAATCCGAGAACAACACGCTGCAGGCCCTCATCGCGCTTGCGGTGACTGGAGAAGCCAAAGCGGCGAGTCTCAACACAAGGCGGGACGGTCCTTTCGCAAAAGAGGTGCAGAAGTACTACCCGGGCGAGAATTGGCACGGCGGAAAGCCGGACGACATCTGTGTCGTCGTTGCCATTGCGATTGAAGACGGCAGAGAAAGCAAGCTCTAGGAATGCTGCTTCTCCGGATAGGGAAAGCATGGTAAGGCGCTGGTGGCATGGTAGATTCGGCTGTCTTTAATACGGGGCGTTGAAGCAGCATGATTTGGGATCTTAATACTGTAAAACTGTAGCAACAATGCATTCAACATATATCATCACACGATGGGCAGGCTGAGCATGGCCTGGTAAGGCTGCGGGCGTTTGGATGCCTGAGGCGCTCAGGGGTGATGATCATAGCGGCGCAGGCGAGGGACGGAGAATCGAAAATACCTACGCGGTCGGGCGACGGAAACCGGTGAAACAACGTCGACATCCGGCCAGACCCATCAAGACGTCGCCCAACTCGTCCGATATCGTGTCGCACGCGTCATTGCGCAGCGATAGGCGGGTTGAAAATTCACGTGCACAGGCTCAGGCGGTTGCCGTGGCAGCAGCGACGCAAACAACCCACGGCCCTGACGCCCTCAACTCCATCAACCTCCCGACGCGACGCACCACTCTCAACCTCGCCAACCTCGCAAGCATTCCCTATGGAACGGTAGCACACACCCGGCATTCGCTACATCCATCGACAATCGCCCCGGACTTTCTCCAGCATCGCATACCCTCCGCGGTCGCCTCTCGCCGGACGCCATGGCCGCAGCTTCGCCTACTCCTCTGTCCTCCTACAGCAACGGCGGCCGCATGTCCCGCCAGCCTTCGATGCAAACCTCGCTGCAACACAGGCGCGAGTCGCCCATCTCTATCCTAGGCCACTCCCATGGATTTAGCGCCAATGCTCCCATGATGCAGCGCATCGACATTGGCGACAGCTCCGAAGATGAGGTCGAGCAGCCCATGAAGCTGAACCCCTACACCCGCGCCCTCCTCGGCCAGGACGCACCCAGCTCTCCCATCAGACAATATGGCGCCCCTAAGCTGCGCATCGCCCGGAACTCCCTCGGCCACACCGAAGACACTCCAATGCAGGACACCATCACCCCTGCGCCGTCGCTGCGCATCAAGAGGGTTCCCCTGAGGGGAGCACCTATGCGTAGGCTCAGACGTACGCCCCAGAGCGAGGACGAGCAACACCAACCGCAGTCTATTTTGGATGCGTCACATGCTATGAGCCCTCAGGCCAGCGGAAGCCCACAGGCACCCAGTGCCGGAAGTCCAAGGATCGTCCGCATAACTAGCCCGTCTCGCGACCAAGAAAACCTTGCTGCCTCGTCCATGAAAGCCGATTCGGCCATGGGGGTCAACAATAGTACAAAGGTTGACTCGGTAATGAAGGACTCTTTCATGAAGGACGCCGTGATGAAGGTGGAGCCTGCGGTAAGACCGTCATCAAAAGGCGAACACAAGCCGGTTCCCCTGGCATCGGTGAGCGTGAATACTCCTCACCGTCCTGCTCCGCCCCCTCCCCCGAGAATGTCGGTATTGGAGACCGCCACCTCTGCCGCCGGTGCATCGACCGTGAAGCAGAAGAAGCGCCGAAGGGCGTTCATGGTCAACGGCAAGCAATATCAGGAGGTCGGCAGGATTGGAAAGGGCGGCAGCTCCGATGTCTACCGAGTCATGGCGGAAAATGGCAAACTTTTCGCCTTGAAAAGAGTGAAGCTCGAGGATGCGGACGAGAGCGCAGTGCGGGGCTATAAGGGCGAAATCGAGCTCCTGCGGAAACTGGAAGGTGTGGAGAGGGTTGTTCGGTTATTCGACTGGGAGGTGGACGAGGAAAAGCAGATTCTCAGTGTGGTGAGTAGTGTCCCTACCCTTTCCAAAATGGTTCCCCAAGAACAGGGCAAAAAGGCCTGAATTGCAGCGACTGACTGGCGTATCAGCTGATGGACATCGGCGAGTCCGACCTTGCTCGCATTCTGCGGATGAAAATCGACCCTGAAGACGCCCGGCTGGACCTTTCTTTCACGCGCTACTACTGGAAGGAGATGCTTGAATGTGTTGCATCCGTCCACGACTACGACATCGTTCATTCGGACCTGAAGCCTGCAAACTTCCTCTTGATCCAAGGGCGCCTCAAGCTCATCGATTTTGGCATTGCCAATGCTATCGAGGTCGACCACACCGTAAACGTTCACCGAGATTCCCACGTTGGCACCCCGAACTACATGTCTCCAGAATCCCTGCAGGATGCAAACGCATCAGCCCGCCACGGGCCCGGTGGTGACTCGTCACTTGGTCGCTGCATGAAGCTGGGCAAGCCCAGTGATGTTTGGAGTCTGGGATGCATTTTGTACCAGATGGTATACGGCAGGCCGCCCTTCGCCCACATCTCCAACCAAATCCATCGTGTCATGGCCATTGTCAACCCCAACGTCGATATCGACTTCCCCTCCCATGGACTCGGAAATGTGCGCATCCCCACGGGCCTGAAGAAGACACTGAAGCGCTGTCTCCAGCGCGACCCGTCCCGTCGTCCCACCATTCCTGAGATGCTCAGCGAAAGGGACGAGTTCCTGTGCCCTGACGCTGGCGATGACCTCAGAATCCCCGAGGCGCTTCTTGGCCAGATAATCCAAAGAGTTGCCGACCGCTTCAGGGATCAGAGCAAGCCAATGCCGACGGAGGAGGAGATAAGACAGTATCCGGGAAGTTTTTACGCAAAAATTCGGGATCTGCTCGAGGAGGTGTAGCGTTTAGGAGGCCTGAAGGATTGTAACGAGTAACGACCAAGTAATAAGCCCGTGCCTGTGCGGACGAACGTGGCTATTACCTTTTTTCCTGTTCTTCTTCTCCCTTGTTATATGGCATGGGATTTCTTTTTCATACGCATTTTGCGCGGATGTCTTTGGTTGAATAGCAGGGCGCCCGGTGCTGTCATTTCTCTGCTCTCCTGGATACCTTCCTCACCGCTAGTCACACCTACCTTTTCCCGTTTTGTCCTTGCATGCACTGAGTCCACAGAAGGAGTAGATGGGCATCTGCAAACCAAAAGCTGCAAAAGCGTCAAGTTTACTTTCCTGGTGCCTTACGGCGCTTTGTACATACATATACCCACCATTGCGCCGGCAGGTTGGCATGATATTCTCTTAGTCAGAAGCATCTTTTCAACGCCTAGTCTTTGTTAGCCTCCTTTTCTTCGCCAATACTCAAGACGATTATACATCTAACTGCATTACCAAATCCACGAGAGAGAAAAGAACCAACTGATGTGCATGTAGTGAACAAATGTTTGAAACTGCAAAAATGTGCGGTAAGATGTGTTGATGTTTGTACAAGTAGTCGAAGCACTCGTCGAGATGTTATAGCCGTAGATCTCATAGTCCGGGAGTGAGTTTTGAGTTATCTGTGCAGGGATTCGAAGTTTCGTTCATTCATAGGGCTTAGCTTCTCATCAGCCAGTTGCCCATCTCCAAATGCTTTACTTCAGCTGATCTCTGGCTCCAACAACCCGACTGCGCCGCCAAACGTGATATAGAACGACGCGCCTCGACTACCCCATCGGAGCGAGTTTTTTTTCTTTTTTACAACCCCGGCTACCACATCATCACGCCGTCAACGCCACACAACTCAACCAATCCCCACGGCTATGGCACGTGTTTCCACTTCGCGCAGATCGCTCAGACCGGTGCGCCGTCCGCCGCCTTCTTCTTCTTAACCTCGATGCACTCGACATTGTCCTCAGGCACCTCTTCGTACTTCTCGACGAGGAATTCCGCGACGTCGTCGCTCAGGTCGCCCTGCAGGGTGATTTCCTCGCCGCCGGCGGGCAACTTGGTGACGGAGGCGCCGGTGGCGAACTTCTTGCCGAGGTCCTTGGCGACCTTCTTGAGCTCGAGGCCGAACGCCTCGAGGCCGACGATGGCGGTGACGTACTTGCGCTTGTTGCGCTCGATGCGCTTGATCGTCACCTTCGAGTGCGCCTTCAGCTCCGCCTCCTTGGCCGCCGCCGACTCGGCCTTTGCCGCCTTCTTCTTCGCGTCCTTCTCGGCACGTTGCTGGGCCTCGACCGAGAGCGAGGACATGTTGGCTTCGAGCGCGTCTGTTTCCGCGAGGTTGGGAGATGTTGAGTCAGCGTCCATTGCGTCCTGCGTGTGAAGTACCATCTCCGGAGTATGTCCGAGCATTGTAACGACGGGCGGGGGAGTTCGGGTGGGCGGAGCATACCTGCAGAGTAGAGGCGCCCATGCATGTCCGGGTGGTGTTCCTGGAGCCATTCTTCGCACTTCTTGGTTGTGCCGCCGAATTCACAGTACTACGCGCCGTCGCGTGTCAGTCGACCGATTGTCCGCGCTGGCATGGAATCGTCCCCTTTGTGTCTCCTACCTACTTCTGGGGGAAGGGTGCAGACTGCGCATGCGTTGTTGTCAGCCTTTCTGTGCGTTCGGGCAGCGAGGCGGGGATGGCGTGAATTGGGGCAGACGAACCGCCGCAGTAGACGACCTGCTTTGCCTCGGGAGGCGGTGCTGCTTCGGAGTCGGCCATGAATAGATTCTGCTCTGGACAATGTGCAGCAGGAAGGGGGAGGAGGATTGGTGTTTGTGATGTTGTGCGGGTGTATTGCAGAGTGGACGCGGCGAGTGGTGGGGTACCAGGTGTAGCGGGGCAGAATCGGCGTCACCAGCAACGAGGGGCAATGACAACCTTGAAAATACGCCCGGGCGCCGGAGCGGAGCGGGACCGGCAGTTTGGACGATCACGTGCAGATCGTTGCTCCAGGAAGACCATCAGCGCTGCCAACACTGATACTGTGTACACGTCCCGATGGAGCAAAACATTAGACCAAGCCAAGACAAACCAACCACTCGTATGCCTATCGTTCTATCTGTGCCGCTTGCAGATGCTTTTTCTCAATCCTAAACGCCTAGCGCAACAGCCGCTCCACTGCCCTCAAATGCCTTCAATCAACGAATCGGTCATCTGCTCCATCAGGCTTGCGGAAGGCTACTTCTGCTGGAAGGCGGAAACTCGCACAGAACATCCTCTTGTTCGGTGCTACGTCTCGCACATCGAAAATCTCCCCGTCTAGAGTTTCGCGGGTGATTTCGAACTCCAGTTTCTCGGATATCCGCTTGCAGATGTCAATCTCCTGCTCCACGTTGTCGTCGCTCTTGGTGCCAAAGCAGTAGACGTGCACCATGGGCAGTTGGACACCAGTATGCGGAGCAAACAGAGTGGAGGGGTCATCTGTTCCCAGAGCCTCGCTGACTGGGGAGCGCGCGTAAAGCCCAATGAAGGAGGGCAGGAAGTCGATGGCGTTGGCAGGAAGGTTCATGACGTAGTGAGAAAAGATGCGGGGCTGAACGAGGACCCGTTCAAGCGATTTGGGATCCACGGTAGCCGGTACCTTTTCTCCGCCAGCCTTACGACGCGAGCCACCGGGCGCCGCCTTCACTGTGACGCGCCGCGACGATCTGAAGAGATCGGCAGTGGCATCGCGGATGAACGCGTGGCCGTCGGCGTTGAAGGCGCGGACGAATTGACCAACCTATCGCGGAATTAGTTGCGAGGGGTGTTCAGGGGCACTGGGGGCCGGTCGATCTTACCTTGTTCCTTCCGACTGCTTCCACCATGCATGCATAGCTCTCCGGGTTCAAATCGTTGGCCCAAGTGAAGATGCGCTTCTTACCTGCAGGAACTGCAAAGGGCCCGACACCAGCCATGACGTCGCAAACGGCTTCTCCTTCCTTGAACGCTCGGACCATGCGCCGGTGCTCCCCCTGCAGCCTGCTGTTCCAGTAAACCTTGCCATAGTCGAATCGAAAGGTGCAGTTCTCCTCGTGGAGCTCGACGTTGAGGTCGCCATGCCCGATGAGCACTTCGTAGGAGAAGGTGCGGAACTCGCTCTCGTCGCCCACGTTGTCTACCTTGCTGATAACAGTCTCCACGTTGTGTGATTTGTCCTTGAGAACCTGGGCGATGATGTCCTTGTAGGGCTGGTGGGATTCACGCAGGTTCAGGTGGAGGATGTGTCCGACCTGAGAAAAGCGCTTGGGATACGCGTCTTCCTGGTCGGCCTCCGGGACGATCGCAGACATGATTTCGTCTGGCGGCGGATCAGCACAACAGACTGTCACCGGGGACCAGGTCACCCACCATATGTCCAGTGGTCGTAGTCCAGGTGCAAGTCGTAGGGCACTATGCTGGCGGTTCCCTTGCTCTGGATCTCAACTATCGTGGGAGACCAGGTGGAGGGGTCTGCCTGCTCCCATCAGCACGCGCTCGGTACCAGTGTGGGCGCACTGGGGTCTACCATCGTGCTTGACGTCCGGCCTCAGCAGCACGCACTTGCGGCCCTGGGAGGCCAGCTCGGGCAGCGGGTCGTGCTGGACGCTCTGCAGGCGGGACGCGGACAGCACATCCTTGGACTTCTCTAGAGCCCCGCGCACGAGCGAAATGTCCTTGTTGTTCGCGATGCGGGCAGCGGCGAGCGGGAAGGTCTTCTGGAAGAGGCTGCGGTCGAGGGTGCGCATGGCCCGATTGACGGGAGGGCGAAACATGGTGTCGTCAGACATGGGCGCGGGGCAGGGGCGATCGAGCGGCAGCTGTGCGCGAAGCCCGAGGCTCTGTGAAATGAGCAGCGGGAGTCGGTGCTGTCTGGGGGATGCGCAAGCAGAGGGGTGGAAATTATTTTGGGCCGTGTTTTGGGCTAAGCGTCGGCGGCCGGGCCCTGGGATCGAGCTTCGGGGAAGCCCTGCAGCGGGCTTGCCAACCATCCGCAAGGGCCTGTTAATAACTCCCGCCTGTCAACATCCACCGACTCACGCCCCCCCGTTCACGCGCACCGCGTCTCCCCCCCGCCGCCCTCGATGAAGCCCCCATAGTCTCGCACCGCCACCCCGACTGAACACACACACGCACCCGCACCCACGCGCCGCCCCGCCGCGCAGACGGCGACCCTTAATTCACCATGGCGTCCGGCGGAGGGAACATTAAGGTTGTTGTGCGCTGCCGGCCCTTCAACAGCAGAGGTGCGACCGCACCCTCGACCCGCCCGGAGAGCATGCTGACGCTTGCGCAGAGAAGGACCGCAATGCACAATGTATCGTGCAGATGTCTGGCGCCCAGACCGTCCTGTCGCCCCCGAAAGGACATGACGCCAAATCCAAGGGAGGCAACAAGGGCGCCGTCGAGGGCCCCAAGACTTTCGGATTCGACAAGAGTTACTGGTCCTTCGACAAGTCTGCGCCCAACTATGCCGGCCAGGACAACCTGTTCGACGACCTCGGCAGACCGCTGCTTGACAATGCATTCCAGGGATTCAACAACTGCATTTTCGCCTACGGCCAGACCGGTTCGGGAAAGTCGTACTCCATGATGGGCTACGGCGAAGAGTATGGTGTTATTCCGCGCATTTGCAAGGGCATGTTCGAGCGCATTGAGGAAATACAAAAGGACTCGTCGCTCAACTGCACCGTCGAAGTTTCGTACCTCGAGATTTACAACGAGCGCGTTCGCGATCTGCTGAACCCGGCCAACAAGGGCAATCTGAAAGTCCGCGAACATCCGTCTACCGGCCCCTATGTCGAGGATCTGGCCAAGCTCGTCGTTCGCTCGTTTGTGGAGATCGAAAACTTGATGGACGAGGGTAACAAGGCCAGGACGGTTGCCGCCACCAACATGAACGAGACCTCTTCTCGATCGCACGCCGTCTTTACTTTGACCCTGACCCAGAAACGTCACGACAACGAGACAAACATGGATACGGAAAAGGTTGCGAAGATCAGTCTGGTGGATTTGGCTGGTTCCGAACGTGCCCAGTCTACGGGTGCAACCGGCGCGCGTCTGAAGGAAGGTGCTGAGATCAACAGATCCTTGTCGACCCTGGGACGTGTCATTGCGGCTTTGGCAGACCTGTCCTCCGGAAAGGCCAAGAAGAAGGCTGCTTCGATGGTTCCCTATCGAGACTCGATTCTCACCTGGCTTCTGAAGGACTCACTTGGTGGGAACAGTATGACGGCCATGATTGCTGCAATTTCCCCTGCAGACATCAACTTCGACGAGACTCTATCGACGCTACGGTATGCCGATTCTGCCAAGCGCATTAAGAACCACGCTGTTGTCAACGAGGACCCGAACGCTCGCATGATCCGCGAGCTCAAGGAGGAATTAGCCCAACTCCGCTCAAAGCTTGGTGGCGGAGGAGGCGGTGGAGGAGGCGGAGCAAGCGTCCCTCCAGAAGAGCAGTATGCACCGGACACCCCGCTGGAGAAACAAATCGTCTCCATCACTTCCGCGGACGGGTCTATCAAGAAGGTCTCGAAGGCAGAGATTGCTGAACAGCTGAGTCAATCAGAAAAACTGTTCAAAGATCTCAATCAGACGTGGGAGGAAAAGATGACAAAGACCGAGGAAATCCACAAGGAGAGAGAGGCCAAGCTTGAAGAGTTGGGTATCAGTATTGAGAAAGGCTTCGTAGGCCTCCACACCCCTAAGAAAATGCCCCATCTGGTCAACCTGAGCGACGATCCGCTGCTAGCCGAATGCCTTGTCTACAACCTCAAACCCGGAACGACCTTGGTTGGCAACGTTGACACCCAGAACAACGCCGAAGTCCGCCTCAACGGATCGAAGATCCTTCCTGAGCACTGTACGTTCGAAAATGTAGACAACGTGGTGACGGTGGTCCCCAAACCTAACGCAGGAGTCATGGTCAACGGCTTGCGCATCGAAGAGCCAAAACGGCTTCGGAGTGGTTACCGTATCATTCTGGGCGACTTCCACATATTCCGATTCAACCATCCCGAGGAAGCCCGTGCTGAGAGAGAAGTGCAGGGCAGTCTTCTCCGTCACTCGATGACAGCGAGCCAAGTGCCCTCGCCCGCTGGAACTCCTTCGCGGCCTGCGCATTCTCGAACTTGGAGCACCGCCAGTCAAGGCCAGTCCGAAGATCCAAGCCCGCGAGGAGGCTCGCCACTTCCTTACAAGAACAGCCGAGATACCGATTGGTCTTTCGCCCGGCGCGAGGCAGTGACAGCAATCCTCGGACCTGACCAGAAGATCTCCAACCTGACCGACGATGAGCTTGATGTCTTGTTTGACGATCTTCAACGCGTGCGTGCGGTGAGGAAAGCGAAACCAGACAGCAAATTCTCCGAAAGAGAGGAAGACGCAGAGTCCGACGGGTCTTTTCCTATCAGGGAGAAGTACGCTTCAACCAGCACGGTGGACAACTTCTCCTTGGATACTGCATTAACAATTCCTGGAACCCCGCAGCTTGGAGAAGAGGACGAGCGACTCAGGGCTGCTCGTGAAGAGATGCAAACTCAGCTCGATAAGCGTAGGGGCGAGTACGAAGACCAGCTCAAGGATGCCGAAGGGAGTTCTGTCGAAGTTGAGGACATTCGTGTTCACAAGGTCAAGATGGAAGAGCAGCTCCGCGCGGTCAAGGAGGAGATGCAACACGAACTACAGCGACAGAAGGAAAGCTTCGAAAGACAACTTCAGGAGTACTCTACACCAACGTCGGAAGGAAAGAGTGCGTTCATCTTCCTCTCCAAGGAGGAGGCAGAACGAGCGAAAAACGTGTTCGCGCATTGGCGACAGCGCAGATACGTGGCCATGGCGGAAACGCTACTTCAAAATGCCGCATTGCTGAAGGAAGCCCAAGTCATGAGCCAGCAAATGGACAAGAATGTCGTCTTCCAGTTCTGTGTTGTCGACGTGGGCCATACGTTTGCATCTTCCTACGACCTAGTGCTCAATGGCGTCCCCGGCGAGGACGACGAGGATCTCGACGCGACACCGAAACCGTGCATCGGCGTCAGGGTCGTCGACTTCAAGGACCATGTCATCCACCTTTGGTCCTTGCAGAAGCTCCGAAGACGCGTCAGGGCAATGCGCCAGATGCACCAGTATTTGAACAAGCCGGAGTATATGCAGCACTTCCGCCTTGAAAACCCGTTCACTGAACCCTGCTCACCGGAGTACTCGCGAATCGGAGACGCAGACGTGCCCCTGGCCGCGGTTTTCGAATCTCGCGTCCAGGATTTCTCGATCGACGTTACATCAACCTACACGGAGGGCGTGGTCGGCATCTTGCGGCTCTCTTTAGAGCCTTCCTTCGCTGAAGCTTCCTCGTCGACTTTGAAGTTCAACGTGGTCATGCATCGAATGATTGGTTTCCCTGAACGTGAAGGGACTGACGTTCATGCGCAGCTGTTCTTCCCCGGCATTTCCGACGAAGGAGGCGCGACCACTACTCAGATGATCAAGGGCTTCAACGAAGGGCCGATCAAGTTTGAGAGTGTGCACAGCATGGGCTTGCCGCTCAACAGTCCCCGCAGTTCGTCTCTTCGGATTTCCATTTTCGCCAAGGTCACTTCGACGCATCTAGACAAACTCCTGAGCTGGGACGACATGCGCGACTCGGCACCCAGACCAAAGGTGAAGCGCTTGAACTCGCGGCTGCCCGAGTCTGAGTTCTATGCTGAAGAGCGTCATGACATCTTTGCGAGGGTGCAGTTGCAAGAAATGGCGGAGGATGGCAACTACAAACCCGTCGATGTCATCCAGACCGGACCGCTCGATCAGGGTGCTTTTCAGCTACACCAGGGCATTCAGCGCCGATTCGTCGTCGATCTTACGCACAGCTCTGGGCAAATGCTCCAGTGGCAAGACATTTCGTCGATCCGTGTGGGCCACGTCAAACTGCTCGACGCAAGCGGGCGCACCGCCGGAACGGATTCTCCGCAGCCTCAAGTGCCGATGAAGCTCCTGGCCAGACCGACTGTCAAGGACAACGCCGATGGTACAAGCAACGTGACGTTTATCGCGCTTTGGGATTCCAGCATGCACGGGTCTCTTATGCTTGACCGCACCACGGCCGATCGCTACAGAGTCCAAGTGTCTCTCATCTGGGATGTCGCGTGCGCCAAGCTGGCGAAGCCCATGACTTTCTCCTTGGACGTCTCGGTGCAAATCCGCTCTCGTGCCTACATCCGTCCGACTTCGATGTTCAGCTCCATGTTCAAGGGTCAACGCGTTATACATTCCACAACCGGCATGTTCTCTGTCGCCATCAGGCCAGTTTCGGCAAAGAGGGCGGTGGACCTGTGGAGGATGAGCACGCAGCACGACTACGTCAAGGGTGAGGAACTGCTTACGGGCTGGACTCCGCGCGGCGTGTCCCTCGTGAAGGACTTCCTTGCTACGCGGAAGCGGCGCAGGAGAGTGGCGGAGATTGAGACAGCTCGGAGCATTCTCAGCCAGAGGGCGCTCACGGCCAACAGCGATGCTTACCTTGAGAACGAAGGCCAGCTGGACGAGCGGCAGATAGAGCTTCTGAACAAGGTCCTTGCGCTTTGGCAGACGAGGAAGGACATCGGTGAGATTATTCTCACGAAGGAAAATCTCGAGCCGCCGGAGCGGGGTGCAGCGTTTGCCACGCCGCCCAATGGTGAGACGAAGCCCACACTAATCTCAGAAGTGCGCTATGTGCCGAAGAACCCGACAATGCTGAAGAGCGGCTATCTCATGACGCCGGATGATACCAACACACGGTGGGTGCGACGGTTCGTGGAGCTGCGGCGCCCATATCTGCACATCTTCACAGTGCCGGAGGGCGATGAACTGAATGCCATCAACCTCTCCAACTCGCGCATAGACCATCAACCACAGTTGGCTGGGTTGTTGCAGCGGCACAACATGAACGTCTTCGCCGTGTTCGCGCCGCAAAACACGTTCCTCTTCGCAGCCAAAAGTGAACGCGAGAAGATCGAGTGGATCCTCAAAATCGACCAGAGCTACTTCAGCAGCGGGAGCGGAACGCCCGCAGAGGACGACGACAGTGCTTGAGATGTATTGCCATGACAAACCCGGAAAATAACGAACCTCTCTTTTCACCTACCACCACCCAGACCGGATATCCCTCCAACACCCTCCTTCGTTGTCCGTGTGTATGTACGAGTCCGAAATGCCGGCGTTGAGATGCAACGTTTCTGTTTTGCCACAAAGAAGCCCAAACCCTCTTGGATGGTTGGATGGATGTACAGTTCGTTCATCTCGACCCCTTTGTTGTACTTTCTTGTTATTTCTGACATGTTGTCTTTTTCTACAAATTTGGCTGGCAGGCACACAGGATTCTTGGAGGCGGCCGCTGCAAACGCTCTGTTTCTGATACCCAAAGCATGTCCGCGGGAGAAAAACCGCGGTGCCCATTTCCTTTTCTTACTTTCTTCTGCCATATTTGAACTCTACCCCTGGATCCGATTAGAGCGCGCCCCTACACCAGGAGAAAAGGATGCAATCGATATTTGTTTCACTACTTTCGGTCTCTGTCAGGCAGGGCGCTGTTCGGGAGACATTTCAATTTGAAGTGAAGACTTGCCAGGACATCGTTCTCTTCGTGTCTGTCGAAGGTGGTACGATTTTCGAGTCAATCCATCCAGGCGTGAAGCGGCTTGCACAGCCTCCCCCTTGGGTAAGCGCCCTAGATGAGGCAGGGAAATTGAGAGAGCAGGGCGTACTGACGGGGGAGTGAGCAGCTAGAAGGGGGGACCCTGGGCAACGACTGGCGTGAGGTGCATTCCAAAGTCAAGGCTCCGCAAGCTTGGCGAAGAAAATGGCACTCGTAAGCAAAGAGCGCACAATTCCGTGGTGTTGGGCTGGGTTGAGAAAGTAATTAGTAGTGTGTGGGGGATCTGTAACAAGGACCGTGCAGCCGTTCCGCAACGGCCACCGTGTCAGAGCATTTTCACACGGCGCGCAGATCCCGGATCGGCATACGGCTCCGGGAAGTTTGGCGTCTCTTTAGTGTCTCGAAGAGGAGGAAGCAGAGGGTTGCCGCCAGCTCTGTTGTGTGCCGATCGCCAATCGCCCGGTCGACTGCGCGTAGGGGTGCGCGACGACGCCCGTGTCAACGCGCTGCGTGCAGAGATGGAGGACGAGAGCGTTTAGTGTCGTCGAGCGTGTGTCAAGAAAAAGTATGTGGGGCCGAGCAACTAATACAACTAGGCGTCTGCGCCCGCGGCCATTGTTCCTCACCCGTCCAGGCCTTCCTTTCTCTTCTCCAAAGCTACTCGTTCCACAGTCTACAGGCAGGCCCTGCAGCTGCGCAATCCCCTTTTTCCATCCTTTAAGAATTACGTTCTTTAATCACAGCTCTCCTTGTTTTTTCCATCATACAGTATGGGGTTCCTGAATGTTCTGGAGGACCGCCACCTCGGCCGGCTGGAGGTGCCGGGAACGGCGTTTCTCGACAACAGCGACGGCAAGGACTTCCCTTCGGAGAAGGACGAGGCTCTAAAGTACGGCACTGGCAAGCATGCGGATACCGTGCTCGTGCCGCAGCCGTGAGTACGCCTCCGACGGGCTGCGACGCGACTGTGGACTGAAGACGAATGCAGGTCCGATGATCCGAACGACCCGCTCAACTTCTCGCCGGCGAAGAAGTTGGCCATGACCACTATCGTTGCCTCTGGAGTCATCATCTTCTCTGCCGTCATCGGTAAGTGGCATGCCAGTCGGAAGGCTTCCGGTCCACCCGCTGACGAAGCGTAGCGCCGATGCTTGCGCCTGGTCTTGTCGTGATTGCCGGAGAGTTCAAGCGTCCGCTGATGGACGTCTCTCTCGCCACTGGATATCGTGAGCATCCCGCCCGGGCTTCGCACCTCCCCTGGCTGACAGATGATCCAGAGTCCCTCGTTGTCGGGTGCTCGCTCCCCCTTGTGTCGGCTTGTTCGCGCAAATGGGGCAAGCGCCCGGTGCTGCTGCTTTCCGCCTTTTTCGGATTCGCCGGCTCCGTCATGGGCGCCGCGTGGACCACCTTCGACGGCTTGATCGCGAGCAGGATCGTCCAGGGCGGAAGCGTCGCCGCCTTCGAGAGCGTTGCCATTTCCATGATCGGCGACCTCTACTTCGTGCACGAGCGCGGCTTCTACATGGCCCTCATGCAGTTCCTCCTCGGCGCCACGTCCAACTTCACCGCCGTGGTTGCGGGCCCCATCACGGCGAACCTGGGCTGGCAGTACCTGTTCTACATGCTGGTGAGTAGCACGCTCCGACCGAGGCGTCCATTACGTTGACGCGCGCACGGCACTGACGACGGCGACGGCAGATTCCCTTCACCGCCATCGAGACGCTGATGCTGTTCTTCTTCGTTCCGGAGACGCAGTACGTCCGTAACAAGAGCAGCGGCGGCGACAACACCATCACGATCGGCAAGGACGGCAGCGTCTTCGAGACGGTCGAGATCGGGTCGACGGTGATTCCGCCCAAGAAGACGTTCAAGCAGCAACTGGCCATCTTCACCGGCACCTATTCGAACGACAACTTCTTCCAGCTGCTGCTGACGCCCTTTGCCATCTGCACCAACCTGCCCGTGCTGTGGTCCGTCATTGCCAGCGGCGGCGCCGTCGCGCTGGTCGTGGTGCAGTCGATCATCCTCCCCCAGGTCTTCTCCGAGGCGCCCTACGGCCTGAGCCCGACCGGCGTGGGCTTCCTTTCCATGGGGCCGTTCGTCGGCGGGCTGCTGTCGGCCGTGCTCATGGCGGCCATTGGCGACCCGCTGGTGCGATGGGCGTGCCGGAGGAACGGCGGCGTCTACGAGCCCGAGTACCGGCTCCTGAGCATGATCGGCGGCTTCCTGATGCCGCTGGGCGCGCTGCTCTTCGGGTATCTTGCGCAGAACGGCGTCAGCTTCTGGGCGACGGCCAGCGCGCACGGTATCGATGTCATCGGCGTCATCGTCGTGGCGACGTCGACGGCGGCGTACGGCGTCGACGCCTACAAGGACATGGCCTCGGAGATCTTTGTGCTGAGCGCGGCGTTCAAGGCCTTTGTCTTCTACAGCTTCAGCTACTTCGTCAACAACTGGACCGAGACGGCGGGTGTCGGCCAGGTCTTCTACACCCTGTCCATCATCACGACCGTCATCATCCTCACCACCCCGGCCGTCTTCGTCTGGGGCAAAATCTACCGCAGCTACTGGCACCGCGCGGACATCCTCGGAAAACTTCGTCTGCGTACGCATGCCGAGGAGTAGGATGGAGCAGGGATTTTATGTCGCCGGACGGCTAGGCTCAGATAGTCGGAACTACGTTTTAATGAAATGCGAGCGTGGCTGCGTGCGCGCGGGGCTTGGAATACTATGATTGGACAAGATGCGTCATTAGTGCTGTGACCTTGAGCTTGACATCATACACGGTAGAATTGTTGACCTGAGCATGACTCCCAGTCTGCTCCTGGGGGCGAGGCTCGCGTGAAAGAGTGGTGGTTTCTGACGTACCGTGCAATGCTATAGGGCCAAATGATCCGGATAGCACGGCCTTGCAGTTCCATCTTGAAGCGCTGCATGTTTAACAGAGCCGGTAAGTGACGGCTGCTGCTGAATGCATGGACCTATTTGGCTTGACCGGAAACTGACGGCTACCAACGTTTTGACGACTGCCGTCCGGCAAGTTGGATCGGAGTCGCGGCAAAACGGTGGCTTGAAACTGGGTGAGACGGTGTGCCTGGATGATATGATGCAGGGGTGGGAAGAAATCCAGGACATCGCATGCTAAGTACTTGCCTCTCTTCTCCACATTTAATCATTCAAGGCCTTGCTTTGCCCTCCAAACCGCCACCTGGGCCCGCATGCTGCTGCAATATCAGGAAGCAGCAGTACAAACGGGTGAGGCTTCTACATGTGGCAGCCGTGAGCGTGCTGCCTGTCGCCGTCTCGAGGGCCGGGTCTAGTCTAGATCTTCGCATCGAGGGCTTGCGGGATCGTCGTGTCGAGAACGCTGCGGCTGCTGCTCTTGCAGATGATCAGCGCATAGGGAGAGCCAGAACTGCAACAATTATGGATCCCCCCATCCACAACCGACTCATAGCTTATTCATCTTGACATTGTGCTTGGCAATGTCTCCACAAGTCGCCTCTGCCAAATCCCGGCTTGGCCAGGAGATGCTGGCACAGTTCGCTCGTCATCGAACGAAGGAAAGATAGAAAAATCATAATGATAGTAATATCTCGAGACTCGTCATTGCGGAACTCGGGTTGCTCAGGAGGAATCAGTAATATAGGTCCACGCTTCGGAAACCACTATGCTTCATGGATTGTATAAAATTGCCGTCCATTCCTTGTGCAGCGAATGGGAATTGTAAGCGGTACGATGGAAACTGCAGGTCGGCGGACAATTAATGTGGGAAATTTCAGTGGGAGCGCCGGTTGGCATCGTTTTTTCCTCTCGTTCGCCGGCTCCACCGCTTGACCGGAAAATGGCGTACATGCACCCGCGAAGCCGTATGTACATACAAATCTTGCAAGTGGCGGGACCAGTCGCGGTGAAGCAAGCCAAGTCGCGGCGGTACACGGCCCAAGGAGCACCGGGCGGCAAACTAGTGCCCGTACGCGGATCAAACAGGTCGTTCTCGCCGCCAACACGGGTGATCGCTTATCGTGGCCTTCGAGTTCGGAGGGCCTGCTCGGTGCATGAAGGGACGGGCTCGGTGAGTCATCCGCCGGGAACGCATCTCTGAGCACGACGGGCGTATGAGAGGCGCGGAAAAGGATGCACGTCGAAGCTGCCAAAAGCCGAATTCCGATTTGCATCGGCAGCCCAAGCCGATGTCGCCCGCCCACCGCTGTGGCTCTCGTGCTATCAGTACCCACCCGCCGCTCGCTGCACACTTCGCTCTCCTTTTAAAAAAGACGCAGTGTCTCCGCATTCCTGCCCCGCGCCGTCCTGCGCTCCAGACTCGTTTGAACGTTGCCGGCTTGCCCAGAGCCTTTGCCTCCACGGCAACCCGCCAATTTCGGTTGCGTACCTGTCTGCCACCACGCTCTTGACCATGGATATCGCGACTGTGCCCGAGCCCGAGCTGAATCGGGTGGCCACCGAGAAGGGCGAGGATGACAACCGCATCGAGCCCATTCGGACAGTCAAGACACACCAATCCGGGAACCTGCAGCGCACAGCCTCACGCCCGGCAAACGCGCTGCAGCGCTTCATCACCCCCTCGACCTACCGGGAAGAGCCACCGCCCGACGGAGGTCTGAAGGCCTGGCTGCAGGTATGTGTGGCTCGAGCTGTATTTGAGGCAGGCTCCGTCTGAATCTCTCTCTTCGATTTAGCTTCCACCTTGCCGCACCTCCCAGAAAACTGACGATCAAAGGTACTGGCTGGACACCTCACTCTATTTTGCACTTGGGGCTACCTGAACTCGTGGGGGCTGTTCCAAGCCTACTACGTGGCCGAGTACAACCTGCCCGCGTCCACCGTGTCGTGGGTCGTCTCCATCCAGATCTTCATGATCAACTTGCTGGCCGGCTTCTCCGGCCGCCTCTTCGACGCCGGCCACTACCGCCCCACCGTCCTCTGCGGCATGATCTTCGAGGTCATTGCCATCATGATGACCTCCGTCTGCACCCGCTTCTGGCAGGTCTTCCTGGCCCAGGGCGTGTGCGGCGGCCTGGGCATGGGCCTCGTCTGGTGCCCCACCATAAGCTTGATCTCGACCTACTTCGTGAAGCGCCGCGCCGTGGGCCTCGCCTTCTCGCTCGCCGGCTCCAGCACCGGCGGCGTCGTGTTCCCCGTGGTTTTCCAGCAGCTCATGCCGCACCTCGGCTTCGGCTGGACCGTCAGGGTCATGGGCTTCATCGTGCTGGCTCTGTATGCCGTTGTGCTCTCGCTTGCGCGCACCAGGATCAATCCCAGAGAGTCGGGCCCGTTTCTGGACCTTCAGTCCTTCAAAGAACCATGTAAGTCTCGTCAGGCTCGCGAGCAGCAGCCACGCTAACCGACTCGCAGCTTATTCGCTCTTCACCGTGGGAACCTTCCTCATGCTGTGGAGTGTCTACAATGCTTTCTTCTACGTAAGTCGCAAACTCAAGCGTCCGGGAGAGAGCATACCTTTAACTCGTCTCACAGGTAAACTCTTTTGCCCACGAGATTATCCACATTCCTTCCTCCAAGTCCTTGACGCTGCTATACCTCATGAACGGCGTCTCCGTCATCGGCAGAATTGTTCCCGCGCTCTTCGCCGACCGCTTCTTCGGATCCCTCAACACCTTCATCTTCCTGACCGCCATCGCGGGTATCGTCATGCTCTGCTGGACCGCCGTGGACAATCTGGACGGGCTGATGATCTGGGCCGCCTTTTACGGCTTCTTCGGTTCCGGCCTGCAGGGCCTTTTCGGAGCGGCACTGGCAGGGCTGACCACCGACCTGAAGAAGATGGGCGTACGCGTCGGCATGGTGATGAGCATCGGCAGCATCGCCGCGCTGACGGGCAGCCCGCTCGCCGGAGCACTGATCGAGTACAACCACGGAAGCTACCGGGGCATGCAGGTTTTTGGAGGAAGCTGTCTCGTCGGAGCCGCCTTCGTCAATACCCTGGCCGCGCTCGCTGGTGCGGGCTACCTGCAGCGCCGCAAGACTTCGCAAGTCGACTTTGACGCCTCGGCTGCTCAGGAGGACGAGGGCGAGAAACATTGAAGGAAAGCTGCATGTTTGCGGCCCCTGGCAGCGATCGATTATACCCGCGAATAGAATGACTCCAGTTTTTGCATGGCGTTTGGGAACAGGCAGGGAAGAGAAAAAAAATTGCATGCGGACAAGGGTTGGTTGATTAATGGCTTAATCTATAATACACACACTGCTGGATTAAAATCTGTATTGAGAAGTTGGCGTGATATATTCTGTGCGTTCTTGCACCAGTATAGTCGACGAGGTGGCGACGGAACTACTCTGACTTGTCGGTCTTGCCGAGGTCCTTGAAGGACCAGTTGTTGAGGTAGCCAAAGCCAGCCTGTGCGGGGGAGTCAGTACATGGGGGCCATGATGCTCTGACCGAGACTTACGCTCAGGTAGGTGGCGAAGCTCAGCCATGCAAGGTAAGGAGCCATGAGCCAGGCGCTCGTCTCATCAACCCGGCTCCAGGTGTGGGCGAGGTAGCCGACAGTGCCGGTCAAAGCAACAATGTCGATAGTGGCGGCGAGGGGACGGCCAAAGCCAAAGAAGAGAGGCATCCAGATCAAGTTCAGGCCAAGCTGAATGGTGTAGAGAGTTGCGCCTTGCTGTAACGAACGGAAGCGGATCAGCGGGGCATTGGATGCGGGGCAGATATGGAGAGGCTCCGTACCTTGGCCGCATCGATCTTGAGGGGGTCGAGGGCTGTCAGGCCAGCGGCCCAGGCACGGTAGGAAGCATAGCCCATGGCGGCATAGAGGGCAGTCCAGACCGGGCCAAAGAGCCAGGCCGGCGGGCGTCCCTTTGGCCGTTTCAGTTTGTCATAGGTGCTGTCCGTCTGGGCTGGAGCGGGATCAGCGGAAGGCGGCGGCTGGGGCAACGGATGCGCGACATACGGCGTGTGAGGTAGCCAATTCCGGCGCCGGCAACCACGGGCAGCAGAATGGCGGCGGCGGGCCGCTCGAAGACGGCGGCGGGCAGGGTCAGCGCGGGCAGGTAGGTGGTCATGATGTGCTTGTGGTGGTGAGAAGGACAGAGGTGAGGTTTGCGGCAGGTGGTGACGTGAGTGTTTGCGGCGGGCCAATTAATGGTTGCTTGTTCGAGCAAAGCGCCGGGACTGCCCTGGCTGCTACAGCCGGCGCAGGTCAGGGCCAGGCAGGGCCGGCAAGGGCCAGCAGCCTGCCAGCGGCCTGCCAGCACGGGGCCGTGCGCCAAGCCAGCCCTGGAACGCGGCGGGCCCAGTAGCCGCAGCCGCCGGCGCCGGTGCCAGCTGCCCGTTCCCCAGCGGTAGTACGACCCCGATCGTCGCGCGTGAACCTCGCTCTCCTTCACAGCCCGTCACCTCTCCCCCCGTCCTCACCAGCAGCTGCGCCGTCTGCCGTGTGAGCTGCCATCCGTGAGTGTCGCCGTCTTCACCCTTCGACTGGCGTCCTCCGCTGTCGAGAATTGTTGGTTTCCTCTGCCTTCTTCTCCGCTTCTCCCTTGCCCGCGTCGTCTCTCCGCCTCCACCCACGTCGCCTTCTTCATTCCTTCCTCCCATCGAATCCATCTTTGTTGCCGCGCGACCACGCGCCCGCTCCCTTTGTCCATCATCTTCCGAAACCCCTCTTGTCCCGTCTTTCCTTGACCCAGATCTAGACGTGCTTCTCTAACCCGGGCCATGTTGGCAAACAGCTCCGACGATTGCTCTGGTCCCACAACCAAACGCTGTCCCCTGATGGATGCGTTTGGCTGACCGGCCCTGCTGACAATTTGAACCCTCTCTTCCCGTCATCTCTCGCGATCCCTCCAGAACGGCCCAGCCTTGCGACACCCCATAGCCGCCATGGACACTTACGGGTATGTCGCCACGGAACCGGAAGCTGGACTCCCACACCCACCGCCGTCAGTTGTCAATGCTCTCTACTAGCTTTTACGCTTCGCCTCCCCATGCAATCGCTGACACTGCGGACACAGTCGCGATGAGCGCCCTGCGACCGACTCTTATCGCCGAAGATCGCCTGGTATGTGCACATGGCCTTGGGCTGTGGACTCTTCGCTCATTCTCCTTCGCGCAGGTGCCTCGGAAAGACGCGCACGCCCGCCCCGTGAGCGGTCTCGCTCTCCGAAGATCATAGACCGTTACCAGCCCGATCGCTCAGGCAGAGACGACTACTACCGCGGCCGCGATGATCTTCACCGCCGGCGCTCGTCGCCCCCTCCCGTGCAACCGGGCATCGATCGATATGTCCCCGGTCAAGATCCCACCCCGGCTCTCATGACCAATCCTCTTCCGAACCCCTTGACACTCGACTACCAGGTTGGCTTCAACTGGTTCGCCGAATGGTGGAGGATGGAGCAGCTCGTCAAGGAAGAAAAGGAACGCCAGGCCAACGGTGGTCGTCGCCCGGAGCGTCTCAAGGGCGAACGCGAGGCTCGGGAAGAGCGCGGCCTAGAGCGCGAGAAGATCCAGAGTGCATACGATTCCTACAAAGAGAAGCTTCAGGTGCAGATGGCTCGGACTTTCGTTCAACAACACAAAGGCGAAGAATGGTTCAAGGAGCGCTATGACCCTGAGGTAAGAGAGGGCTTCCGCCAACTTCTCAGCGATTTCCGCCGTGGAGTCTACAGCCAGTGGGAGCAAGACTTGGATGCTGGTCGTTTCGACGAGTTCACCTTGGAAGGCATCTACAAGAACGAAAGTAATGGTGCAGGCGGTGTCGTAGAAAAGGAGGAAGGAGAAACCACCGCCGCGAACGAGGTGTTGGGCGTTGGCGATCTCCTTCCTTCCAAAGGCGGAGATATGCGGGATGAGGCTGCCCTTCAGCCCACACTACTCATCAAGACCATCGCTCCGACCGTGAGCAGAGCAAAGATGGAGGCTTTCTGCAAGGAGCACCTCGGTGAGAACGAAGGCGGCTTCAAGTGGTTGAGTCTGAGTGACCCGAACCCTCTCAAGAAGTGCCACCGTATCGGCTGGGTCATTTTGAATCCAGGTGCGGAACAAGCATCAAAGGACGAGCGCGGTGATGGACGGGAGGAGGAAGGCGAGGAGTTCGACATGGCACGGTCTGAGGCGGATGCGCCCATGGTTTCGACTGCTGAGAAGGCGCTTGCCGAGATCAACGGAAAAACGATTCAGGATGAGGTACGCGGCGATTTCACGTGCCACGTAGGAATCCACGAGCCCCCTGCTGCTCCACGCAAAAAGGCACTGTGGGATCTCTTCTCTGCTCCTGAACGTGTTGAGCGCGATCTCCAGCTGGCAATGCGACTAGTGTCTAGGCTGGATGAAGAGCTGGGTCCTAACAACAACAGCTTGAGTAAGATTGAGGAGAGGGTGGAGATGCTCGTGAGCCAAGGCGCCCTGCAACCTCCGGTCACCGCGCCCGGTGCAAAGAAAGAAAAGAAGGAGGAAGACGAAGAGCTCGAGGAGGGAGAAGAGGACGTCAACATGGATGATGATGATGAGGAAGGAGCGTACGATGAGGAGGTTGATGACGAGGAGTTGCTTGTCAAGAAAAAGAAGCTTGATCTCCTGGTGGAATACCTCCGTCGTGTCTTCAGTTTCTGCTTCTTCTGCGTCTTTGAGAGTGATTCAGTCCATGAACTCACTCGCAAGTGCCCGGGCGGCCACCTGCGACGCCCCCGATCCAGTCTGACCACCGCCGCCAAGACGGTTGCCAAAGCCAGTGCCGCAGGGCAGGCGTTCCCGTTGAAAAAGCAGGAATCGACTACGGAAGAAGAATCAGCAGGATCCCCGAGCCAGGAGAAGAGAATGTTCAAGACCAGCGGCAAGAACCAACAACAGCTCCAGAGGGCGTTCAACTGGGTCAAGACCTACGAGGATAAGCTGCTGCAGATCCTTGAGCCTGAAAACGTGGACCTGAAGAAGCTGGGCGGTAAGCCGGTGGAAGAGGCAATGGAAGACGAACTCATCAAGTACGTCAAGCAAGAAGACGAGGCGAAGTACCGGTGCAAGGTTCCCGAGTGCACCAAGCTTTTCAAGGGCCAGCCTTTCTGGAGGAAGCACGTGGAAAAGAGACACCCAGAATTCTACGAGAAGGTCCAGTCCGAGGTTAGTTTGCCCCATGGTCGGAGTAGACATGTTTTGTCACTAACCAAAGGAATAGGTGGAAATGGTAAACCGCTACGTGCTAGACCCGGCGCACATTGCTCCCTCGCGTAGCGACGCAAACAGCAACGGCCACTTCCCTCTGCACAACAACGTGCCGACGGGCACGCCCCGCGGATTCAACCTGGCGAGCATGCCGTTCGGATTCCCTGGAATGGCGCCAAACCAAGCAGCATTCTCGGCGCTGTTTGGGCAACAGGGCATGGCCAACGGCTACGGCGCGTTTGGCGACGACGACCGGCACGCGGCCGGGCCGATGCGGCGGGGAAACGTGGGGTCTCGGTATGGCAGTCGGGCAGCGGGCCCGTACGATCGACAGCAAAAGGACACACGCAACATGCGGTGGAACGGCGGGTCTGGGCGGCTGACGCCGCCGCGGGGAGGCACTGGACGGGCTGGCGCAGGGGCTCGGTATACGGACGGAGGGGCAGTGGGCCCGCGCGAGGCAGTGCAGGGGAGGAGCCTCAAGAGCTACGAGGACCTGGACGCGGCAGGCGGCAGCGTCGGCGAGCTCAACTACTGAGGGCTTGGCGCTTGTGGAAAGGCGCCGGGCACTCGGGGCGGCGATTTTGGGCGTCAGCGGCGACAGGGTTGATTGATTCCGTGCGTTTGTCTAGTTCAAGCTTAGGTCTCAGGTTACGGTGGGCAAAAGGGCGGCAGGCTCTGGATAGCAGCATAATGCGAATGAACATTTGAAGTCGGGTGGCGTTTGCTGGCAGGTGCCGCTTGGGGGCCAAGCTTTGCGGTTGTGGGGATCGTCGTGAGGGCGTGCTTGGGGCCCTTGGGGCCCTTGGGCAGGCGGACTGTGGCTCACCAGCGCTGACCAGTGCTGAGTGCTGCAGGCTGCGCGTGACGACCGGGCCCAGCAGTTGGACGCGCGCCAGGACGCAGGACGCGGCCGCGACGGGCTTGGGCGGCCTGGCCCTAGGACTGGGTGGGCTTGGAGCTTGCGTACTCAATTAGCCCACACAGCCTCAGGCTGCACGCCGCGCCGCTGCGGCGCCCGGGCGCTGTGCCGGTGACCCGTCGTCATCGCAAACACCTGCCCAGACCTGCTCCTGCAGCCAGCAGCCCGCAGCCCGCAGTCCGCTCTTTCCTCACCACCTTGCCCTCTTTACGCGCCGTGGCCTGCCCCTCGCCCGCGCCTCCGTCGCCCGCGGCCGCTGACCCGTGTTGTCTCGCTAAGTTCGCTCTCTCATTCGCGCTGCGCTCTTTGTCGTCGTCCGCAGCAGCCTCCGGCCCACAGATCGCTGCGCTGCCCTTGAGCCTGCGACACGAGCCGCTGCCATAGTCCCTGCGGCAGGGCTGTTCTTAAAATACCAGAAAGCGCCCGCAATCCTCGCCCTCCATCCTGCCTCCCGCTGTCCTGCCATGGCTGAACAGACGCCGCCTGCGAACCCCGCCAATGGGCCCCCAAGAATCGAGGCCACCTCCCCCGCCGAATTCCCCAAGCCCAACCGCAGCAACACGGTCGACACCACCGACGATGTCTTCTTCGAGGCGGCAGAGGAGCCCGACGAGTCTCCGCGCATGGAGCGCCTTACTCTTGCGAGGTCAACTGCATCCTACATGTCCAAGCTCTCAACCAACTCGGTCCCCCCTGCGGGGTCAATTCTCACTGGCAAGCAAGAGCATTGTAGGCATCCTCCCGCCCTTTCTACCGTCGCGCTGCCGTGCTGACCTGGCTGTAGATCTGAAACGCGAGCTTGTTTCCCAACAGACCAGGTTCGAGATCACCGAGCTGTCGTCACCCACCGCCCTCCAGAGATTCGGTGCCCCCTTCAGATCCGACGCCGGCGAGGTATCCCCTAGAGACTCGGAGCTTCCGCTGCTGCGGTACATGTTCGTGCACCATGTCCGGAATTTCCCGTTCCTCGACCAGGCCAGGGAGAAGGAGTTCTGGCAGGACAAGCTACAAGTGGTCAGTTTGAAGAATCCGGTCGGTGCTCGTCGAGTGCTGACGTCAATGCAACGCTGTGCAGTTTCTCGAGTCGTTTGCGAACAAGCACATTTCCGGGTCTGAGGATCGGCTGGAGGAGACTAAGCGTAGGAAGCTTGCCGCAAAGGCTGAGAAGCTTGTGGAGCTCATGATGGTCTCGGGCATACCCACTGCGTCCGGTTATGAGGAGAGAATACGCTTCTCCGAGATGGAGGTAGTGGACAGGGGCGCGGACGAGAACGGACTGGTGGTCAACAAGCCTCAGGGCCACCCCATCAATGGTTGGGATGTCAACGTTGCAGGAGTGCACACCATCTCAGTCAAGCGGCACGTCCGCTACCATACCCACGCCGTAAGTCCAATCAACACTCATGGTCCAATCGCGCACTACCAACACCCCGCTCTAGGAATACATTCTGCGCGTTCAACGACACGACCATTCTGAGGTTTATGTGGGGCGGAAGTGGTCCGATTTTGTTGATCTGCACAAGAGAATCAGACTCGAGCTTCCCGGCAAGGTCCTTCCTCCACTTCCTAGACGAAACAAGAAGAATTCATATCTCAGCGCCGGCGCCGACGACGATGGAGATACAGATTCGCTCTCTTCCGTGTCTACCCAAGATGTCCAAAATGCTCCCTACGGCGGTGATAATGTATCAGACAGTGGCGGCGGAAGTGGCGGCGGACTTCGGAGCTACCTTCCACTACCAGGAGCCAGCCACAGACGCAATACTTCCAAATCGTCTCTTTCGAGCTCACCTTCGCGCAGACCTTCGGGCGAGGGCTTTATGTTCCAGCGACAACACGTCCTTTACAGAGAAGAGCAACGCGTGTCGCTCAGGGCATTCCTCCGCACTTTCCTCAAGAACGAAACAATCGCCAATTCGAAAGCCATGGCTGAGTTCCTGACCGGAAACGTTGTCACTCTGAACGAAGAAGAGATGGAGGACATTGAGCGCCGCAAAGAGATGGACGAGAAGCGTGTAGAAGAGCAGAAGAAGTTCTACGAGATCGCTCGCGCAAGGGCCGCAGAACTCGATGTGCACATGGAAAAGTTCAGGAGGGAGATTGTTGAAGCAAGTGGGTATTGCGGATCGTTTGTGATTTCTATGCACACACTAACGTTTGGCTGTAGACGGACTGTCGCATTTGTTCCAAGAAATTCGCGTAAAGAACAGGATCTCAGAGCTCAAGCCAGAGTACCAGAAATTTGCCGAATGGTGCAGGATAGAGTTTGTACCTCGCTCTCCTCTGCAGCCACTTCAATACTAACAAAACACCTAGGGTTGCTGCCACAATCTACCATCTTTTCCTTGCCGAGGACAACTCCCCCGACCTGTTCGCTCAACTCAAGAGAATCCACTCCATGGTTCCCTACACCGTCATGAAGAACGTCATTCGCATCGCCAACCCTGCTGCTGTTATGAGCGGAGTGTTGGACCTGTTCTTAGCACAACCGTTCGGCTCACGGTCATTGCTGCAGCGCATTTTCGGCATGGCCATCAATGATGGAGTCAACGCCGTTCAAAAGACGATCGATAACTTGAGCTCCACGAAGATCAAGGACCCCGTGCTTTGCGAGAAGATCAGGGCTTTCACGAACTCGGACGAAGCGGTCAAAGGAATCATACGTCAACAAGCAGAAACGGAGCAGGTCGACATCCTCGTTGCTATTCTCCGATCCGATTTCTTCGAGCCGACTCTTTCTGAGGAGCAAATCGGAGCTGTTTTCAACGCATATGTGGCGTGGAACAATGCAGTGGAGAATGTAAGAGTTTATACGCGTGCCAAAGGTTAAGAGAACGACGATAGGCTGACCTGATGTTTTAGGTCGACGTGGAAATGCGCCAAGGCGCGGAGCAATTCGCGCATCTCAAGCAGCTCTTGAAGCTCAGCCTACGGCAAAGAGATAAGAAGATGATGCTCGAAATCATCGAAGAGGTAGGCCTCCACTGGTTTGCGTTTCGTTGAGATGTCGCTGACAGATGATAGCCGACGACGCTGCAACTTTTCCGCGATCTGTTTACGATCTTCTACGAGCCTCTCGTTAGAGTGTACAAGTCTGCGAACGTCTACAGCAGTATCACAGACTTCGCCGTCTTCGTGGATGATATTATCCGTACGGTGGAAGCAGCCCAGCGCGCCGACATCTCCGCCGATCCCAACCAGACTGTGCAGGCGTTCATCGACCTCTGCGCTAGGCACGAAGACAACCTCTACAAATTCATCCACGAGGTCCATATCCACGACAATGGACTGTTCGACCAGCTCATGGGTTGGATCGAGGGCATTCTAGAGTTTCTCAGAAAGGGGCCTCCTGGAGGTGGAAAGCTCGACATGAATGGACTGTTCCAAGCGGGTCTCGACTCCGGCATGATCGACAGACGAATTGCCGTCCGAGAGATCAATTCCTTGATCAAGTGGCAGACAGCTCGCAAGAAGTGGCATTCAGACAAGACAAGGCAAAAGATGGCACAGGGAGGCGACGACGGCGGAGATATGGTCGGCATGGGTATCGGAGGCTTCACGACCAGCGATTTCGGCCTGCATGCGGTAAGTAATCCGCAGCATTTTGGTCACGCGATCAATAAAAAACCACCTGGGGCAGCGAAAAAAAAAAGCGAATGCGGATATCGGCTAACGTTTGCAATTTCGATTGTGGTAGGACGACCTTGTGGATCTCAATATCGAGGACGAAGACGACGATCCGGACTCGCTCGACGAGTCGGACGATGACGCGGACCCGATAGTTGCCGAGCGGCATCGCCGACTCAGGAGGAGGGAACAGCTGAAGAGCACCGCAGGCGAACCGCAGAAGCCGCCAATCACCGAGCTCAGAAAGCTGCACCCGTCGTTCCTCAGCATGCTCCGCGACGTCCTTGCAGAGTAAGCTGACGTTTTCTTCTTCTTGTTTCACACTTCGGGATCTGGGTCACTCGGGGGGATCATCAAAAGACGTGCGGGGATTTAATTTTTGGGAGGCGTTTGGCCCCGGATTTCGTGTCGCTCTGATGAGCATTTTCAAGGAGGGGGTGGGTGTGTAGCTCCGGGACCGCGTTGTGACCCGGGTGGTCAAGGTTTTGAGGTAACTCGAAAAGGGAATGATTCCAGTGGACTGCCTGGAATGTTTGTTGCCAGGAAGCCAGTGTGCAGAGACCAATTGTGCGTGAGAAACAGAGATTAGAGATGCATGGCGCCCTTGCGCCTTTGTTTTCCATCTTTGCGTTCGTCTCTTGGACTTCTTCCAGTGATGCGTACATGTAGACAAGAAAAAAAAAAAAAAGACGTCGATATACCCCAGTTGCGCCGCTGCACACATGTACCCACCCAAACACATACACACATAAACGCGCGCGCGCACCGCTTCCTTGCATCTTTTCTCCCCTTAGCCCATAGCCTTGAGGAAGTTGGCCTCCTTGATCTGCTTTCTCCGATGCGTACGCATGGCCTTGGTGAGGTCTTCGCGCGCCCTGTCCGCGGCCAGGCTGCCCTGGGCGCTGCCGTCGCCGGCGGGGAGGTCGATGGTTTGCTCGTAGACGGGGATCTTGGGCGCGAGCAGCTCCGGGTTGAGCATGGCCTGCTTGCGCAAACGCTTGGCGGCTAGACGGCGCTGCTTCTTGGATTTCGCTGTTGAGGGGGGGTTGCAGTTAGAAAACAGAAAAAAAAAAAGTGTCGCAACAAAATGACAACCACTTTGCTATCTTCTCCTTCTCTTTGTAGATGACAGGTGGGAAGCAGAGAAGAGAGAGGAGACTACGGGATAGGGAAAATGTGGGATGCAAGAGAAAAGTAAAAGAAAGTTGATGAGAAAAGAGAGACAGAGAGAGAGAGAGAAGAACTCACAGAACAAGTCGCCCTCGTCCGTCTCCTCTTTGCTGGCACCCTCGTCACCCAGCACCGTCCACAGCCAGGGCGGGTACTCGGCGTCCTCCATGGCGACCGGGTCCGTCTTGTTCTTGAAGAAGTTCAACCCCCGGAGCGGCGTGCCGGCGGGGACGGAGCTCTGCACGAGGACAGCAGGAGTGGATGCGGGCTTGTTGGGGACGGCGCCCGCGGGCGAGGGCGTCAGCGGAGTGCTGAACGGCTGCGCGGCTGAGGTCGATGTCGCTGGCGGCGCGGGGGAGGCGGAGCGCGCGGCGTCGGTGGAGGGAGCCTTGGCGGACGCGGTGCGCGTGGTGGTGAAGGTGCGGACGGCAGAGGTGGTGGTGGTGGTGGAGGAGGAGGAGCGGAGGCCACGCGTGCCGGCGCGCAGGAGGCAGCGCGGGCAGATCATGGTAGTGGCGAGCTGTTGCGGGAGGGCGAGAGGCTGGTTGGCGTGTCGTTGCGATTCAATGCCTCTCTTCGAAGCCAAGCAAGCTCGCTCAATTGCCTTTGCGATTGCGGGTCTTCGCCGACGGAGGATCGACTTTCTGTCGGCGAATTGGTTGTTCCGTGTTCGAGGCTCGGCTGAGTCCCGGGCGGCTTCTACGTAGGTAGGAGCAGAATGGAACTCGTGACTGCTTACTCATCTCTCCGCAGGAAATGGCAGGGCGAGATCACAGCATACACCCACGTGGTATGACCATGGGGACGGCATTTTGATGATTGGCTGGACGTCGGGAGGAGCGCATGGGGAAATGCTTGGAGGCGGCGGTGCGCCTCGCCACAAATTGCGCTTTACGGACTCCCGGGGGTTGCGCGACAGCAATAGCGAGACTTATCAAACATAATTTACGTCGGGGAGACGGTGCAGCCTGGTTAGAGTTACATTGACGGGGCTGCGTGTTGGGCAGCGGCGGCGGCGCGTGTCACCTGCACGTCATGGCAGCTGTTGCTCCGATGCAACACTTGGACGACGTGGGAAAATGCTGGAAGTGTGTTTGTTTGAGAGCGTCCCAGGGGCGTGAGACGGCGGCGCGGGTTTGCCCGCGCGGGCTAGGCTGGTCGTGGTCCGGATATACGGAGCAGCGTCCAGCATGTGCTGACCTCATTTCATCCGGATCAACAGGCGCGGGCAGATTCACCCGCGAGAACGAGGGCTGGCCGGCTTCTAGAATGAGGGGTAGATCCCGGGTGGAGCATTTGTCGTCGTGGGGACGATAAGATGGGGAGTTTTAACTTCGACGCCGCCATCCGCGGCCCGCCATCTACGTCGACACCCGCCCGTCTCGCTGGCGCTTGCGTAGCTGACGGCGCTGCACCCGGATGGCTCCCACCCCCTCGACGTAACCTGAGCTATTAATGCCCTGCCCGCCCTGCCCGCGCTGGCGGCGACGGGTGACGACCGATCGCCGGGCGTGCAGCCAGCCTCCAAGGAGAGGCTGCTTAAGCGACCTCGGAGCGATCCTGCTGCTCGCGCTGCCTTTATCCATACCGCACGCATGAAGCGCGCCCGTGGTCAGACCATCCTGAGACGGCCTTGGAGGTGTCGGCGTGCCACCAGGAGCGCATGCCCATGCGTGCTGCGGCCCGTCAGCACGCAGCGCTCGCTTGCTCACGCCCGCCCAGGCAGCCCAGGCAGCGCGTCGGGAGCGCCGGTCACATGACGTGCCGGCTACCAGGGTTTCATTGCGTAGCAGTGGGTGCAGGCGCCGGACGCTACCATGGCCCAGCGGGCGGAAGCGCCGTGACGACGGTTGCGCTGGCGCTGCTGTCGTGCATTGGCCTTGTCGGACATGTTCCTTGAATCTGAGGGTGGTGGAATCCTCCCCACGGCTCGAGCGCGGGCGGGCGCTTCGCAGGCGGGCGGGCAGGCGGGCAGGCAGGCAAACAGGCAGGGCTGGCGATCGGCGTGGCAGGGCTGCGCGCGAGGCCAGTTCGCTTAATACTGCATCGGGCTCGAGGTCGTCGGAGCTCTGGTCTGGCTGGCTGCTTTTGCTCACAGATATGCGGTGCGCCCACGTCCGGACGGACGCTTCAACTGCCCTTCTCTCGTGCAATGCGAAGCGGGCCGCCCCCGTCGGTGCTGGAACAAGGCGGCGCCGGCAAGCAGCATCAGCAGCATCAGCGCGGCGGCGGTGACGCACCGCGCAAAAGCGGGCGAGCCGCGGGCGCTACGGCTCAGCGCGCTGAAACGCGCGCCCTCACACGGGCTGCGCGGGGGAGACGGCCAATTGCGGTGCGATGGCGTGGAGGCGCGCTCGTGGTTCGCATGCGCTGGACGACGGCTGTGTGACGTTCGGGAAACGGGCACCCGCTGTCGCCCGCAACGTGCAATCTTGCGCAGGACCCGCGACGCCGCCGTCGAGCTGTTCCTGCAGCGAGCCCACCAGCCAGGCGGCGGGCAGGCCGGTGGCGAGCGCGTCGCGTCGCCCTGGTGCGCAGTGGCCGCCGGGTGCCGGGCGACGGGCAAGATGGCTGGGAACGAACCGGCGCGGCGCGACACGTCAGAAGCAACGCCGGCGATCGCGCGCGGCGAGCAGAGGGGGGCAGCTTCACGGGCGGCGGCGAGGCTCGAAGCACGAGGATGCGCGGACGGGCGCCTTCAGCACCGCGGCACCGCGGGCAACGTTTGGGGGGGGCGGCATCGTCAGCAGTGAGCCAGCTCTTTGGGCGGGCTTGGGCCGGCGTCTGCCGCTGGCGCAGTTTTTGTGTCAGCCCGAGCTCGAGTGAAAAGCTCGCGGCTCGCCGCCTCCACAGGCTCTTCCTTTTCATTCGTTCATTCGCCCGCGCTTCACCAATCGGCCTCGCAGTCCTATTTATCGCTGTCCCATCAGACCTGGCCCAGCAACTGCGAAGCAGTGCTCGTCCGCTGGCCTACCACGCGCCTGAGCCACACACTACCCGCGCACCGCCGACCACGGGAGCCTGAGCTACGCGTGCACGCGTCGCCGACGAGCTGCCCGCCCTCGAGCCCGCCGCCTCACCACCATCAAATCTCGTGACCCGACGTCGCCGTCCCCGACAGCTTGGTAGGTTGTGTCTTGGTTTTCTCGCTCTCTCCACTCGCTGCGCCTATCATCCGCCCAAACATCCCGGCTGGCGCAGCCAGCACCCGCCCCAGTCTCCCACCTTCCACCACCTCCCCCAGTCTGCCGCACCGAGTCCGTCGAGCACTGCACTGCGCTGCGCTGCGCTGCGCTGCACTGCGCAGTCTGCCGCAGACCAGCCGCGTGCGCTGCGCGGCGGCCCGCGCTGCTTGCCCAGGGCGAGTCTGCCTGCCACCGGCTGGCGCGCCGCCCCGGGCCTCGGTAGCCTGGCCTCCGCACCCGCTCTGCGCTGTTGACGCGTGCGCGACCTCGTTCTCGTCGCCGCCCTCGCTCCAGACACGACCAGCCACGGCTCCTGCTGCCGCCGCCGCCGCTGCTGCTGCTGCCGCTGCTGCTGCGCGCGCGCGTGTAAGCCGACAACGTCACCTGGCAGCGGCGCAGTCCAAGTTGCTTGCGACAGCCGACGTGGATCGCCCGGGTTGAGCTGATTAGCACGGTACGGCTATGCTGCATGCATTGCCAACGCATCACCTCCAATCGACCTCCGGCCAGCGCACGCCCACCTCGACCCCTCCCCCAATTGATCTCCCGCAATCTACGTCGCGCATCGTGCTAACAGAACATCATCGTGCTAGCTACTCGTTTGGCAGAGCTTAATCCCTCTCCACACGGCCCCGAGGAGTCGACCGTCTTCCCCGGTCCAGAGCGCACCGCCGCACCCACCCGGCCGTTGAACGCTCTGATCGCGGCTTAGGCCCGTCATCAGCTTGCCCTGTCCAGCCTGCGCCTGCGCATCCCCCGGGATCCGCCTCATCCTGACCGTGGCCACCCAATTGACAACGCATACCTGCCCGTGACGTGACTCAGGCCTGCTTGCGCTGCCCTCGACTTCAAGACCGCCCGATATCTAGCGGGCGCCCAACAAGGGACATCGAGGCTCTCTCAAATCCTCTAACTGCGGTCCGCGCGCAAGTCGAAGATCATCGACGCTTTGGCACCATCACGCCCTCAACAGGTACGTGAACCGCGCTTTTCGCCGTGTCGGGCTTGATTGGACCGAGGGACCACGCGCTGACCACTTTCAGCACCATTCCTTCGCCACTAATTGCGCTGCCTCGATCCCCGTCGCGCCATCCCAGCCTCCAGGCACCACTGTCTGCGGAAGGCGCAATACCACGCCCTCCAATCGCTGCGCTGTGCTCGCTGCGCCGCCCGTCACTTGGCCCGGTCACCAGCTCCACGACATACGCGACAGCCGCAACACAGGCTAGCGCCGCGTCCGCCGCGGTAGACCTCAAGACGCGCGCGTCCGCAAGATTGTTGCCATAGAGCCGCCGAGTCCCCCAAGACCGCACTCATGATGGAGTACGCGCAGTATCAGCAGCCTCACCACCCCCACAACCATGCCCAATCGCACCTGCAGAATGCCTACTCGACGCCCTCGCAGTCGGCTGCCCAGGGAACCATAACCTCGCCGAACCAGCAGACGCAGATGCACCAGCAGCACAACCAGACGTCGCCCATCCTACCCTCGCAGACGAACCCCTACTCGCAGCAAGGCACGCCCAATGCCGCAGGCCACCAGGTGCAACCGATGGGATATCCCTCGGCCGCGGGTTACGGTGTGAATATGCACCAACAGTACGGCATGTCGGCCTCCCAGGCAGCCGCCGCAATGGCGACTGCGGCAGCGGCAGGCCCGGGCTACTTCCCCATGGGCGACGGCGGCATGCAAGGGCAGCTGAGCCAGGACCCGCGCGCTTCGCCTAGGATAGGAGCGGGTGCTCAGGTCAAGCCAGACCCGCGAGGACCCCGCTCGCCGCCACAGGTCTCCAACAACATGAGCGGCCAGACTGCCATTCCACCGCAGGTTCAGCTGCAGCAGAGCCTACCGCGCCGCATGAGCCAGCAGATTACTAGCCCCGCCATGCCGCAACAGCCTCAGCAGTCGATGAACCCGGCTGCAAGCAGGCCCTCGGCGCCGCCGCAACTTCCCCCGCAAGCGCCTGCAGTCCAGCAACACCAATCGTCTCCGGATCTCGGTTCAGGCGCAGCAGAAGAATCGCCGCTTTACGTCAACGCCAAGCAATTCCATCGCATCTTGAAGAGGCGCATGGCGCGTCAAAAGCTCGAGGAAGCTCTGCGCCTGACTTCGAAGGGTCGCAAGCCGTATCTGCACGAATCGCGTCACAACCATGCCATGCGCCGTCCTCGAGGACCCGGAGGACGCTTCCTGACGGCTGACGAGGTTGCTGCGATGGAGAAGTCGAAGCACTCGGGTGAGAACGGCGAAGTGGACGACGGGGTGGACAAGGAAAACGCCGGTACGCCTGCAAAGTCCCTCCAGTCTGGCCCCACTGGCTCGGCTAAGAGAAAGCTTGGTTCCCACGCTCAGCCGTTGCCCACCATTAAGAAGGCCAAGACCGGCAATCTTCCCGTTCAGCGGCCCAGCACGAGCGGTGACGAGAACAGCGAGGATGACCTCGAGGATGAAATTGACGATGACGACGGTTGAATGCCTTGGACTCGGTGCCGCGCTGTGCCTTTTGAGCTCACCATGGATTCGCTTGTTCAAGTGTTCTCTTTAGCGTGACTGAGGCTGTTCAGTTTGCAGGTTGCGAGCTCTGATGTCATTCAGCCTTCACAGCCCTTTTTCTCAGCTCCCCTTAGGTTTCGGTTGGTTCGGGTTACGAGTCACGATAAGCAAGCGTGCTATTTTTCTCCGTTCAGAGGGCGATTGTGTTCGCCTGTCGATGATTAGCCTCAGATTGTGCTCAGGCCCAACGGTCTGTTTCACCCCTATCTCTACCATTCTGCTTTACACGCACCTGTTCCCCACTCGCTGGAGCAGTGCATCACGAATCTTTTTATTTTTAAATATTGGCACATATCGTCAGGCACAAGGGGGAGCAAACGGACATGGAACTTTCATAGATGGAAACTCCGTCACCGGACACAGAAGGGCGACTGGCGCCGTTCCCTATACCCCCTATTACCACTTCTGTGGGTTTCTACTTCACCTTCACTTCCTCTGCATTGCGCCGGTTTCATGTGGATCGACGGATGGGGTTGGATCGCTTTTTATATTCCCCTTTATTTCCTGGCACCAAGATTGTTGTCGCTTGATGACTCTTAGCGGTATTTTGGCTTCCAATCTCAGCTTGGCAACGTGGCTATATGTGGGCACGGCATGGACGAGGTACATCACAGAGGGAGGACGTTGTATTATAAAAAAAGACAGTGCCGAGCCATTGAGCTCTTGCGCAAACGCTCTCCCATGAAAGAGAAATAGGCAAATGAATTGACATCTATGTGACTGCAGAGGAGTTTGGCTTGGAACGATCTGAGCCGTAAGACGTCCACGTTTGAACCGACCAGCCGTTCCACCGCGTGGGGGGCACGCCCCATGGTGATAATGCGGCGAAGCTAAGTAGTACGACGGGCACGTGGTGGATGTATACACCGGACGGATGACCTTTGTGCAACAAGGGAACCTCGTCTAACGCGAATCAACATCAAACGGGCGACCAACAACGGCCGACCATTCCGAAAGCCTCCTGCCAGGCTTTATTATTGGCAATAAACTCATCATACCCACGCCCCCCCC